ACTCAATAAAAAGCTGTTACTCTGGCCAAGTGGGGTATGTTAGGCAGTTGGGATAACTGAGTTGAATCCCAAGTGCCGGCTGGGATTGCCTGGGAAAAAGATTCTGAGGTCACATGCAGCTCAGCGAGGAAGTGCATGATCCAGTAGTGTTGTCTTCCAATGGTCAGAGGGGGAGGGAAGGGGTACAACACATGCCACCTATTCATGCCCACCCTTCACCCTGGAACAAATAAAATCTAAAGGGCTCGGGGAATTTTACTATTCCTTAATTCTGCATGTTAAGAAGTAGCAACTGAGAGGGGCACCTGGGAGGCTCAGTTGGTTGAGCGTCCAACTTCGGCTCAGGTCATGATCTCATGGTTCGTGGGTTCGAGCCCTGCATCAGGCTCTGTGCTGACAGCTAGCTCAGAGCCTGGAGCCTGCTTCAGATTCTGTGTCTCCCCATCTCTCTGACCCTCCCCTGCTCACGCTCTCTCTCTCTCTCTCTCTCTCAGAAATAAACATTTAAAACTTAAAAAAAAAAAGTAGCAACTGAGAAGGCTGGGAGAAGAGAACCTTTCTGTCCAGTTCTTCTGGCCCCTGTGACGGAGTGGGGCAAGGAGACCATTGAGGCTGGATGGGCCAGATGGGCTGGGGGCTCCCTCCTCAACTCAAATCAGAAGCCTGGCCTGGGGACTCAGAGTCCCCTCCGCTGAGGGGAATGACTGATGGGACAGTCTCCATCTACCACGACTTCCCCTCAGCCCTCTCCACACATGCCCCACCCCCACCCCCACCCCCAAGGAAAGTGCCCCAGCCTAGAGGTCAGGAGGACAGACAAAATGCTCTCTCAGGGAAAGCCAGGGACTTGCTCACCCAGCGAGCTGGAAAGTTTGAATAGCATTTTGGGGCAACAAGACGCTCCCTCTCCTGACTTTGACCTTGTCTGCCACAGGAGGTGGAGGTCTCCTGTCACAAGGAATCTTTCCACCACTTTTCTGTCTCCAGTGTCCAAGGGACGCCCCACCCAAATGCAACACCCCAAATCCTAAGGATCTTGGCCCAGCAGTGGCAGAAACACCTAAGCTCCCTGGTTGGAAACCTAGCTCTGACATTTCCAGGTTGGGTGACCCTGGGCAACTCATCATTCTGTGTGAGCCTCCGTTTTCTCATCTGTAAAATGGAGATAGATGGTCTATAGCATGGGAACTTTGTGAGAAACTGTGTGTAAAACATCTGGCAAATTGGAAAGTTTCTTTGCCACCCCCCCCCACCCCGTCACATCCTTTCAACAGACTCCAAGGAGAACGACAGGTTCCCCACCACCCTCAGTCCCCACCACTAGTCCAACTCCTGTCCAAGGGAAGGAATCCCCTCCTCTGGGCCTCTGAACCCACTGGGGGTGTGACCGCGTCTCCTTCCACCAGGGGGCGCTCCCCCACCCCAGCAGGCATGTCCTCACAGCCTTGTTCCTATCAAAGTAACACCAGCTTTGCAAGGGGGAAAACAAAACCAATGAATTATGAGACACATCGCAATTTCTGAAACCTTTTTGAAACTGTTTTTAAATACAATTTAAAAATTATGTCTGAGAGTTAAAGAAATAGGATAGTTTTTAAAAGCTCTTGAAATAAAAAGGGGGAAAAAGGGTGTTGAAGGAAAAGCAGCCCAGAGCAGCCCAGAGCTCCTGTCCTGCACAGCTCAGAGGCTCCCACGGCCAGTCCCTGGCCATGAGGCTCTGCCCCACTCTGGTCCAGGCCACCCCAATCTCCCAGAGCCACTCCTGCTCCACAGTCCATCCCCACTAGGCAGCCGGAGGAAGCTTTTCAAAACACTGGTGAGACTGTGTTGCACCTTTTATGAAAATGCCCTCAGGATTCCCAAGAGAAAAAAAGCCCTATGTCACTGGCCCCTCAGGGTCTCTTCCCACGGCCCCTCCCTCCTGTTCACTCTACTGAACCACACTGGCCTCCAAATGTGCCAATTCATTCCTATCTGGGGGCTTCTTCCCTGGCTGTTCTCTCTGCCGGAAGACCCCCTCCCTTCCGCCCCCCCCCCCCGGCACTGGTCTGGAAACAGGTCACAAAGCCCAGACCCCACTGCTCAATATTAAAGGCCCGGTGACCCTGGGCAAGACACCTACCCTCCCTGGGACCCTGGCTGCCACTCAGGATGGGCACATGACGGATGTGGTGTGTGTAGAGGGGGTGGGTGACACATCATTCCGGATCTGCAGCTCGCTCCCCCAGCCCAGGACAAGGTGGCGCCATGTCCACGGTGCACTTGGCATGCTCAACACCCAGGCTCGGTCAAGCCCAAGGGACCCCCAGCCCAGCTCCCCGACTCCCCTCATTGCCCCACTCTCGCCTCTGCCCCAGCGGTTTCCCTTGACCGACACCACCACCAGCCAACCCGAGACCTGCCCACCCTCCCCGACCCTGGTCACAATGCATTCAGCGTAGAATCCAGAGAAGCCCAGATACCAGAACCAGGCAGGACCTCAAGGCCCCCAGTCCTCTGCCCCTTCCCAGCAGCCCCTTGGGGCTGAGAGACAGGGTCTGCCATCCCCCACTGGGGAGGGACGTCCCATAGTCCAGAAAGGCCCAGAAGAGAGAAAACCAGGGTGAGATCAATCTCAGAGGACCTCCTGGTGGGTGGACTTTGAGCTAACAGTGACGGCTCTGTACTGGACAAATAGTCACCCAATGCCTGCTGTGTGCCAAGTCCTGTGCCAGGCGTGGGAAGAAGGGAGACGCGGGCCTGCCCTGGGGGAGGGGGTACAGGGGTAAATAGACACACAAAGAAATACTGTGGTGAGAATAAAGCAGGGCAGGGGTAAAGAGTGCAGAGGTGTCAGGCCCTGAAGGGATATTTGAGGAGGGCTTGGAGGAGAGGCCCTGTGATCTGCCAGAAGCCCTTCTCAGGCAGAGCAGACAACAAACAACAAAGGTCTTGGCTGGCTTGGGGCTAAAGGCCCCCTCCTCCAGGAAGCCACTTCAGATTGCTTCCCCCAGTCCCCACTGCATCTGCACACTGTCCCACGAGCCCCACCTGCCACCCCATGGATGCCCAATCCTTGTCCTCAGTAAGAGAAGCTATCAGATTAACCAGTGAGAAGATGCATCCACGTTACAGAGGAGCAGTCTGTGCCCCCAGTAGGCAGAGGCTGGGCGTTCTTCTTTCTGGTGTCCCGTGTCCAGGGCAGAGCCCGGCATACTGCAGGTGCTCAGTAAGTGTTGAACAAGTGTGAAATAGGGAAGCGATGCCAGAAAACAAGGTCAAGGATGGCTTTTCCCCGAGGACAGGGCTGTCTCCACACTCCTCAGTGTGGCACAGGGGCCCTAAATCCTGAAGAAGGTGACCCAGGGCGGGGGCCGAATGCAGCCATTACTGGCGAGGTTCGCAAGGAATTATGGCGACAGGCTGCATTCAAAGCCGGGATGCCGAGGTTATGGGCTGTGTGGGTGTGAGTGTATGAGGAGGGAGTGAGCGTGAGGGAATTGAGGGTGTGAGCGCACACGTGTGCAGAAAGACAGGAAAACATCTAGAGGAAAATGTGCCAAACTGATCTCTGGGAAATAGAATCCAGATGGTTTTTATGGGCTCTTACGCTTTTTGGTATTTTCTTGATTTTTCTATACTCAGCTTGGGCTACTTTTAGAATCAGAGGAGAGCTAAATATAAGTAGTTTTTTTTTCAGGCCATTGATGCAGAAGGCGGAGAACAGGCAGAGAGGAGACTGGTGTGGCTGTGTAGACACCTGGGCCTGAGGGGTGAAGGGGGGTGCTCAGGGAAGGACAGGTGAGGTGAAGAGGGGCGCTCAGGGAAGCACAGATGACCAGGAGACAGGACATTGGGCCACCAACCCGGCTTCCTCACTCACCAACTTGTGTGACACTGGCCTCCAGTTCTCCATCTGGGTTCTAAGCTCCTAACCCCGATGCTCCAGAATTGTCTAGGGAGTGGGCCTGGAGGGGCTGGGTGTGAGCAGCAGGAGACACAAAGGGTCGCTCGCATCGCCACAGGTAGAACTCAGCCCTGCCGTGCCTACTGGGCCTGGGGTTCGGCATCGTGGGTGCCTGATGGTTGGAGGGGCAGCCAGCAAGTCCCCACAGCCAGAGCCACATCCCCACAGTCAGCAGCGTCCAGGCTAGGAGTGGACACTCGCACTATTGTTTTCTTAAGTGCCTACACTGTGCTTTAACTGAAACACGTGGGCAAAGGCAGTAAAGTGTTCCCATAAGGGGCTGGGTCCTATGGAGAGGAGGATTCACTGAGCCCCAGAGTCATGCAGAAGCTTCCCCTGAGGCTGACCTGTCCTGACCCCTGGTGTCCAGCCAGATGGCCCCTAAGTCAGGATCTCAGGTCTCAGAGGGGACCCTGAATCTCCTTCCAGGTAAGGGCCGTGCACAAGCCTTTATGAAAATTCCCTGAGACCTGGTAATTGCTACATCCTGTCCCTACCCCTCTCTACTCACCCCTAATGTCCTTCCCTCAGGCAGAGGTCTCGGCCCTGCTTTTACCAATGCCCTGAGTTCTCCACCCAAGTCGCTGCCCAGAGCAGCACACAGCAGAAGGTCCAAGGGGCTTTGGCTCAGAAAAACCTGGGTCCAAAGCGCCCATCGCAGAGCCAGGCCAGGGTGCCCTCCACCACGCTTGGGGGACAGACAGTCGGTGAGCGCAGGGTTCCCAGGGGCGGAGTGCCTGACGGTGGGGAGAACGGGCACGCAGCAGGGCAGGGGACAAACCACCTCCGGATGGCGGCGGGGCCTCACTGCAGCCATAAGGCTGAACCAGCTCTTGGGAGCAAACGGCTCACCCCAGCGGCGCAACCCTCTGGCCACGCCACCAGGGAGACTTCCAGGCCCTGTCCCTGTGCTTCACCTGCTGGACAGCCGTGCCGGGCGTCCTGGGGGCTGCATCCAGCCAGGCAGGGCCCCATCAGGGTAACGCGGCCTCGTCTTTACTTTCTTACCTAAGGGGGTAAAGGGACACAGCCCACCTTCTAGCCCGTGGGACTCTGATGTCTGCCAATATTTATTTTCTTCTCCAGGACTAGTGAAGAAAGGGGTCAACAGAAGGAGGTCTATAGCCTCTGGGTCTGGCAGGGGTGAGCCAAGGACAGACAGGACCAGCCCCGAGGGCCTGGTGACCGTGCTAGAGGACTGGAGAGACGGTGGGCCACCTCAGAACCTGATGTGGGAGCTCTTCGCGGAGGACAGAAGGGTGGCCTTCAGAGGTCTTGAGAGCTGCTTGATGGACGAGGGAACGGGCATGGGGGTCGCTGACCTCTGCGCGTCATACCTGGATGCCTGGGACAAGGCCGACATGGGGGACTGGAGGTGCAGGGAGGTGGACAAGGTGGCCTCCAGGAAGCCGGAGCCTGAGGCCGTCCAAGAGAGGGAGTCGCTGGGAGAGAGGGAGACAGTGGGTGAGCTGGTCACGGTGTTGGGCGTGGTCTCCCTGTAGGCATCCAGGTCCTTCTGGCAGTTGTGGGTGGGCGGGCAGGTGCGCTGGCCATGCTGCTCCAGGATGCTGTGCAGCACGAGGTCAGGCGTGTGGGTGGGCGACAGGTTGTTGAAGTGCAGGCTTTGGTAGACCTGAGGTGAAATCTGTGGGGATCAGAGCAGGGGAGTCTGCAGGGTTCACCCAGGACGCGGCGCAGGCGCACGGGGAGGACACGCCCTGGGCTCGTCCGTACAAGTGTGTGTCCAGAGTAGCGTGGTTGCCACCGATGTCCACAGCCGACCGGAACTGTGTGTGCACCGTGCGCCGGGCCCGGCAGCAACACTTTGAGGTCAGCACTGGACTGTTCCCATCTGAGAATGAGGCCCCAAGCTGGACCCGAGCGGGGCTCAGCTGTGAGGAGCCCCCAGACAAGGCCCCTCCTCTCCTGTCGGCAGTCACCACGCTGCGCTTCGAGGCTCATCTCTAGAAGGCAGGGAGGCGGGCCCCCTTCCCACTGACCTCTCCCAGCCCGGGACAGAGGGGTTCTCTCGCTTCACTCAGTGCCCACCACGGAGGGAGGAAGCCCTCATAAATGCCCTGATGGCAGATGTCTCTGGAAGAGGCTGGAGTCTGCACAAGCAAGAGGCTTGCGTGAAGGGGCTCAAAGCCGTCTTGCAAAGCCCCCGGCTCCCTCTTTCTTTCCCCAAGCAGAGCACCCCTTCCATGCCTTCCGTCTCTCTTGTGGCACCAGCAGCCCACAGTGTGCACACTAGGCAACCAAACGAACAGCCACGGACTCTGGGACAGTCTTTGAAGGCTTTCAAAAGTCCCAGGTCCACAGGGGTGCCTGGGTGGCTTAGTCGGTTAAGCGTCCGACTTTCGCTTAGGTCATGATCTCGCGGTTCGTGGGTTCGAGCCCCGCGTCGGGCTCTGTGCTGACTGCCAGCTCAGAGCCTGGAGCCTGTTTCAGTCTGTGACTCCCTCTCTCTCTGACCCTCCCCTGCTCACGCTGTCTCTCTCTCTCTCAACTAGGAAAAAAAAAAAAAAAAAGTCCCAGGTCCACAGAGAACCTGCTCCCACAGGCTCGATGAGGTGTGTCCTCAAAGAGAAAACCCGTGTCCATGGCCTCAACCAGGGCCTTGGCAAATACACCAACCTGACTGGCTTCATGCCAGAATTCTGTTAAAGGGCCGATGCTCCCCTCGCCCCCACTGGGCGGCCCTGTGGGTTCAAGCGTGGCCGTCGATGGAGATGGGATGCCCAGAGGCTCCGGCCCCGCAGAGGGCAAGCCCCACCATGCCTCACCTGGTACTTCATCCAGCCGTACCGCACGTTGGCGGACAGGAGGCTGGGACTCCGTGACCGCTCCTTGGGCTTGTATGCCGCTCCCACAATGCTGCTCTCCTGCAGGAGTCAGGGGCAAGAGTGAGGCCTCGGGGGTGACAGCTGAGGGTCCCTCTCTGCCCCTGGGGCCCCCACCCAGCCTCACCTGCTTGCCCTTGGACTCCCACTTGCGCCAGCTGCTCTCAATGTCTTCCGGGGAGCGCTCTCCAGCCCACGGGGACGTCTGGGTTATCTTCTGCAGGTTAGCCCAAGCCTCAGCCTCCGTGTCCGCCTTCCCCTTCAGGAGCGCCAGGAGCGCTGCCTGCTCCCGCCGCTGGTACACCAGGGCCTCGGCAAGAGCCCGCTCCTCCCTGATGGAAGGCGCTGTCTCTCAGATGCCCCCACGCCAAAGGTGGGCCAGCCTTCCCAGGGACCACAAAGGGCCTCTCCCTCCTGCGCCCAGTCTTCTTCTACCTTCTTATCCCTCTCCTGAGCCCACACTGCCCAGGACCCCGCTCTAAACAGGTGTCCAGTTAACATTAGCAAAGACCAAACTGACCCCCAACAAGTCCCGAGCCCTTTCCTACCACCCTGAGCTCTTCCCATGGAGGCCTAACACCCCACCTTGATCTCACCTGGACCTCCCCACGTGGCCTGTTTAAGCCTCCTCTCCCTCCCAGGGACTCCCCGCCTCTGCCGTGTTTGATAACCCCACGCAGGTCTGTAAAGATGTATGCCTTGACAAGAGACTAGGAGCCACAAGGACTCTATGGGTGCCTGGAAAACTCCTACGTACACACCAAAACCCAATTCCAGAATCGCTTCTCGTATGAAGCTTTTTTTTTTTTTTTAACTTGATCCATCCAATGAGGTGATTGTCCTCTGAGCCATTCCCGTTCTTATTAGTCCCATCGCTTATCGGATAAAACAACAACCATGAGGTTGCGTGTCCATCTCCCAAGTGGACTGTGAGCTCTCTGAGGCAGGACTCGTATTTGGGTTGTTCTGGATCTCTTAGAGCCTAGCACAGAGGCTGGTGGGCAGCAGCCCCTCACTACTTTTTGGAATGACCCCAAATCATCTGAGACTTGGTCAGGAATGCGACTGGAACATGGATGGAGAAGGAACGTGTGAAGGAAAGCAGCAGCAAGCAGCCAGATGTCCCCATGGATCAGGGAAATAACATAAGTGTCTGTTCGGGACCAGAGCCCTGGACACTCTCCTACCAGGGGCCTCCAGGCACAGAGAAATGGCCTCGGCAGGGAAGCCAGCTCGGGCAAATCTGAACCTGGCTCTGAGGCACAGGCTCACCTAAGGGCTTGCGTTTTCATATTTTCTGCTGGTTTGTACCACTCAAACTTTCGGCTGACCTGGGTTCTCAGGCCATAGCTGCCACCTGTAGAGTCAAGTTGCCTGCAGGTCCCAAGCCTTTGGCCTTCGCCAAATATGCCCGGTGCTACCCAACCCAGATGAGGCTGCCTGGGGCCTGGGCCAGTAGATACCAGGTGGGCTGTGATAACTCACTGTGGCTCTGAGTGGAAGGCCTTCTGGGCAGCAACTGTAGAGTCATCCTCCTCCTTTGACTCTTTTCTCAGTTCAGAATCACCAACCATCCGAATATCCTGCAACCTTTTCCAGACACTCAGGCCAAACGTCCCTGTGATTTAAGCAGATCCAACTCAGTCACAAGAACTGGCCTACCTCCCTCTCTATGAACCTTCTGCCCCTCATTCTCCACCCTCAAGACTCAGCTAGCAACCCCTTACCCTTGGCCTGTACCTCATGATGCTTACTGCATGCCAGGCATTGTGCTGGCTACTTAACAAATACGTGGAGGAACTAGCCCTGGCCCTACAGTACACTTGGAGCTCAGGCCAGAGCATCCTGCCCCATGTGAGATGGAAAGACCACTATGGCAATGACTGAGTGATCCTCAGTTGGGCTTAAGTAGCTCATGTGTAAAGCATCAATGACACAAAGCGATCAGGCAGCCATCAGATGTGAGATCAGGGTGGCACCGTGGGATTGAGCCCCATGTCAGGCTCCGCACTGGGTGTGGGGCAGGGCACCTGAGTGGTTCAATCAGTTAAGCGTCTGACTTCAGCTCTGGCCATGATCTCACATTTCATGAGTTCAAACCCTGCATCGAGCTCTCTGCTGTCAGCACAGAGCCCACTTCTGATACTCTGTCCCCTGCCCCTCCCCTGCTTGCTCTCTCTCGCTGTCAAAATAAATATTTAAAATTTTTAATAAAAAATAAAATTACAGAGAGGGAAGGGCCCTTCCAAGAAGAACTTAAACTGAGATCTGATTCCCTCTCTGGGAGCCTTTTCTGAGTCTGGGCAGAGGCTAAGTGAGAATCAAGCTCTGCTTAGGCAGCAGAAAGCACTGGAAGGAAAAGAAACCATCAGAGCTTCTGCTAGCCATTCTGGCTGGCAGGATGGATCAGGTCTAGTAGAGTCACAAGTGCATAGCTGTGTTTTCCACAGGACATTTGCTGAGCACTGGGGAGCCGAGGGCCTGGAATTTGGGTCAGGCAGATAGAATGAGGCTGTTGGGAGACAAATCCCACTAGAGGAAAAAAAAACTTTGACAAACACAACAGACTTCACCCTTGAGCCGGACTTCACAATGGAAGACGGAAGCAAACTGAGTCTTCTTAACACTGCAGCCCGGACCCAACCCAGCTCCGTTCCTGCCTGCAGTGAGATAAGTCACACAGAGGAACAAGCACATGTGCTAGAGGAAAATCACATCATTTTCAGTCTCTGTGGTTCTTTTATACAAAGTCCCAAAAGTCTTGGCTTCGGTTTAGGGGGGTGTTGTTTTTGTTTTGGGAGGTTTTGGAGGGGTAGATTTTTTTATGTATATAATATATAAAAAGACAGGAAAGTATAACCAATAATAAAGAGAAGAAATAAGCATTAGAATCAGACCCACAGATAATTCTGACACTGGAATTAGCAGATAAAACTTTACCTATTGTAAATAGTTATATAAAATAAAGGAAAGTACAAACAAAATGAAGGAAAAGAAGGAGAATTTCAACAATGAATTGGAGTCTACAGGAGAGAACCAAATCGGTATTTGAGAACTAAAAAAAGTACAAAATTAAGAATTAACTAAGTAGGTTTAATAGCAGGCTGCATACAGAAGAAGACAGAACTAATGAACTGGAAGGCAGGTCCACAGAAGATGTACAAACTAGAATGCAGAGATAAAAAACAAAAACAAAAAACAAACACAAAAGGACAGAATAGAGCATAAGAGACATATGGGACAGAGTCAAATGTTCTAACATGCATATAATTGGAACTCCATAATGGGAGGAGGAAGAGATGGGCAAAAGCAGTATTGAAGAGACAATATTTACCCACTTTTCAAAACTGATGAAAAATATCAACCCACAGACTAAAAGAGATCAGTGAACTCCAAACAGGATGAATATGAATAAAAGCACACTCAGGCACATCATAGTCAAACATATAAAAAGGGCAGAGATAGTTTGAAAAGTCATGTTGGCAAAGGTAATGAACTTCCAGTTGTCAGATGAATAAGTTCTGGGGATCTAATGTATAGCATGGCAACTGTAGTTAACAATACTATATTGTATACTTGAAATTTGCTAAGAGAGTAGATTTTAAGAATTCTCACCACACACACACAGATACTATGTGAGGTGATAGATATATCAGTTACCTTGATTGTGGTGATAATTTCACAGTGTATACATATACACTGCATATACAAATCATCATGTTATACACATACAATACCAGTTGACTCGGTCTTTTTTCCTATGTTTCTATTACTATGTCTTCATAGTCACCAGTCTCTTCTTTTGTAGTGTCTAATCTTCTATTAATCCCAACCAGTTTATTGTTACCTCAGACATTATTTTAAATTTCTAATTTCAATTTGAGTCTTTATATATATATATATATATATATATATGTATATTCGAGTTCTCTCCTTAACATGTTGACATTTTCTTCTACCTTTTGTAACACATGAAGTGTATTCATAATATTATAGATTTGCTAATATTATATATTATATTTATACTATATTATGTAGTATATTATATATAGTATAAATATATTTATAAATATAAATAGTATAAATATGTAGTATAAATATATACTTATTAAATATATATACTATATAATACAGTATATAATTTATAATATTACAAATATATATAACATGTACTAATATATTACACATATTATTTATGTATAAATTATAATATCTCAGGGATTACTATTCTCGCTGCCTGCTGTCTAATGTCTGGAAGCTGTTACATATATTTTGCTCATGTTTTGAGTTGTTTAAAGCGAGGATGTAAATCCAGTCCTTGTACTCTATCACGTCTGGAACCAACAGAAATGATAGGTAAGAGAAACAGACCCAGAAGTGGACCAGATATTGTTGTTATCAATGACTTTAAAACAACATTGGCAACATTTTCAAGAATATAAAGTGTAAAGTGAGGAGTTCCATCATAGAACAAGAATAAATTAAAAATAATCAAAAAGGTTTTTACCCATAAAAGAGCAGAAAATGCAAGGAAAGGAACAAGCCTTTGACAAGAGACAAGCGACCAAGGCTGCTTTCAGTCCTGGATAAACCCAGATGAGTCCTTAGTGAACTGTGAACAGCCTCACATGACCTGACAGATTATAATCCAGGATGTTCAAGCCACAGGGCAAGTCTTTAGCTGCCCATGAACAATTTCCCTCAGACCTTCACAGGGTATATGGTGGCAGTCCACTGAAGGTTGGGGGCAGGGTAGAAGAGCTGAGAGATAGACAATGCAAGTATTAAGTGTAAGAAAGTATAAGGTGCTTTTTCAGTGATGGCTATAAGGATATATGTATACTTTCTGAAAATTCACCAAGCTGAATCCTTTTGGTTTGTGTGCTTTACTTTATATAGGTTATAACTCAACAATTATTATTTAGTTTGAGAGAGAGAGAGAGAGAGCACATGAGTGTGCTGGAGGGGAAGAGAGGGAGAATCCCGATGCGGGCTCGAACTCACAAACTGTGAGATCAGGACCTGAGCCAAAATCAAGAGTCAGATGCTTAACCAACTGAGCCACCCAGGCGCCCCAAGGTTATTTTTAAAAAGAGAAAAGAATGTGCCTTCTCAGATACATGATTTGTAAAACCAACACAGGCAAATAATGTTGGGTGGATGGGTGAGGGGTAGATGGACAGCTGATGCATGAATGGACAGGCTGCTGACAGGACAATTGGAAAGACTCATATCCTGTGACATTATGTGAGCAAAGGCAGCTGCTGTAGCCTGAAACTCCACCCCACAGGACAGAAGGTTTGTGCCAGCTTGTGCTCTAACAGGGACAGGGCCACGATTAGCCATGTGACACAGCTGAGCTTCAGCAGGACCCATACCAATGGTGTCACCAGAGAGTTTCCAGGCCTTGGCGTTACAGTCTTGGCCAGCACTGACAACCAGCTGGAAGCTATCCACATACAAGACGTCTGCCACACTGTCCAAATGGCCCTTCCAGGAATTGAGAAGCTTGGGAGGAACCAAGGAAATGGTCTGGCCAGCCACGACCTACAGGGGACAACACAGGAGAACTACTTATCCCAAGTCATAGGTTCATTAGAAGGCATGTGAGACTGGAGGCAGCAGCGCCTTCTGGAAGGATCCTGGGACACGGGACCTAGTTCTAGCCATGTCCCCACATTTGCTTCCTGGTGACCACAGGTAAATCCTGGTACTTCTCTGGGCCTCACTGATCCCTTTGGTAAAATCATAAAAAAGCATTCACATATTGCTATACTGTTTACCAACTGTGTCTACACAGATGATTCCGTTTGAACATCGTAACAACCTTACAGGATGTGTATGCGTCTCACCATTTCGTTGAGGAGAGAACTGAGCCCAGAGCCACATGGTGGTGAGGATAGGACAAGGAAAATGGACAAAGGATGTGAAGAGACAATTCCCAAGACTCTACATGGCCAATAAAATAAGATGTCAACATCACTAATAAGAAAGATAGCTTCGTTAAAATCAAAGGAAATCACTTGTATCTAAAAATCGGCCAAAGGTCTTTTTTTTTTTATTTCAACCATTTATTTATTGAATGCCTTCTCTAAGTGAGGCACTCTGATAGACCCAAGGAACCCTCACTTGGATAAATACCGCTAATAATAAATACTTTATGTTGGCAAGGATAAAGTAAAATAGGCTAGTAAAATGCAAAACTATATAAACTTTCTGGAGTGCAGTTTGGCCGTACAGATTAAAAGCCTTAGAAAGATTTATGCTTTCTTCTCCTGCTACTTTCCATGAGATAAATTACCAGCTGCACAGATAAACAGCTACAAATAAACAAACCAAAAAAGATTTGTGAAAGAGAAAAATTGTTCTACCATTTTTCTAGCTTTTCAACGCAGCTTTATTGAAATATAATTCAATTCACCCATTTGAAGTGCTCGCTTAGTATATTCACAGAGTTTACAACCACCGTCACGTTCAATTTTAGATCATCTTACACCCCACCGGTGGTATAAATGGAATCCTGCGATATGTGGTTGCTTATGACTGGCTTCTGTCACTTGGCATGTTTTCAAGGCACATCATGGTGTGGTGTGGACCAGCAGGTCATTACACTGGGGTTGTTCTCACTTCCAGGCTGTTATAAATAATGCTGCTATAAACACTCATATATAAGGTTTTGCATGGATGCCTCTTCGTTACTCTTGGGTGTATATTTAGAGGTGGAATTCCTGGGTCATATGGTAACCCTACGTTGAACTTTCCGAGCAACTGTTAAATTGTTTTCCAAAGTGGCTGCACCACCTTACATGTTTGCCAGCATTGTATGAGAGTTCCAATTTGCCCACGTCTTAGCCAACACTTATTATCTACAGCCATCCTAATGAGTGTGAAGTGGGATCTCATTACGGTTTTGATATACATTTCCCTAATGGCTAACGATGTTCGGCATCTTTTCATATACTTCTTGGCAATGTGTAGATCTTCTTGAAGAAATGTAATAGGTAATAGGTAAAAAGTAACGGTGGCCTCATAGAAAACTCTTTGGCAAGAATTCTTGAAGAACTGACATTAATTCTTCTCTAATTACTTGGTAGAATTCACCGGTAAAGTCATCTGTACCTGGGCTTTTCTTTGTGGGAAGTTTTATTACTAATTCGATCTCTTGCGATATTCAGTTTTGTATTTCTTTAGATTTTCTATTTCTTTTTGAGCCCATTCTGGCAGTTCATCTCTCTCTAAGAATGTATCCATTTTCTATCACTTTTTTGATAATGAAAAATTAAAAACTGCTCTAATGTCTGACAATAATAAGTTAAATAAATGACTGTACCTCTATATAGTGAAATATTACTTTATCATTAGAAAGTCTGATTTTCAGGAATGTTTGATAATTTGGGAAATTCTAGTTACGTACAGTATAATCCCAATTTGTTTATAATGTATCATTATAACACTAAGAGAAGACAGATCCTGGAGTCAGACTTGAGTTTACTCCCAGGTCCAACATGGGTAGTTGTGTGAACTTAGATCCCTACAACTCTTCAGTTTTATCTTCCTCAGCAGAAAAGTAACATCTCCCTCCCAGAGCAATGACAGAGAGTCAGTAAGAGAATACATAAAAGCAGTGATCACAATTCCTGAAACACAGTAAACACTAAATAAATGAGGCTGACTGTTATTATAACGATAGTATTAACTTTATAGATTCCTCATATATTGAACCCATGGGTGACTTATTCCCAACGGATCTGAATGCAGTGAAATTTTCATCTTACTAAAACCAGGCTAGACATCATATCTTTGTGCAGAGATTCAAAAGGCACCTAAGACTGCAAGATGGCTATCAAAACTGCAAATGCATACAACCCTTTAATCTAGACATCCCCACTTCCAAGAATTTATCCTTCATACATATTTCTCACACATAGGAAATAACATTCACTCGTCACTTTTGTTTAAGAACAAAAGATTGAAAACAACCTCAATTTCCCTTCCAAGGGAGTTACATCAATAACATACCCTATGGCTTGCTACACCGCTACGTACTCGTATGCAAAGATCTCCAAGATATATTATGGAATAAGAAATACAAGGTGAGCACCAGTGTGTATAACATGCTACCTTCATGGAGAAACAACAGGAGAGAACTTTGCACATTTCTGTTTGCATAAACAAACACTGGAAGAGTCACCAAAAATCAACAGAACAAGATTTGGCTGAACAAGAAGAATTGGTTTTGGGGGAGGGGGAAGAGGAGTAAGACTGAGTCCTTACTAGAGGCCTTTTGCCACCCTGAGATTTTAAATCTTCAGTAGTGTAGGGGCACCTGGGTGGCTCAGTCAGTTAAGCGTCTGACTTTGGCTCAGGTCATGATCTCACGGTTCGTGGGTTCGAGCCCAGCGTCAGGCTCTGTGCTGACAGCTCAGAGCCTGGAGCCTGTTTCGGATTCTGTCTCCCTCTCTCTCTGACCCTCCCCTGCTCACGCTGCCTCTCTCCCTCTCTCTGAAATAAATAAAAAACATTAAAAAAGAAATTTAAATCTTCACTAGTATATAACATATAGAAAAGCGTACTTATGATAAATGTCGTGAATAAATTTTCACAGACTGAACACAACTGTATGACCAGACCAGGTTATGAAACAGGGCACTGTCCATCCCCCAGAAGTCCCCCTCAGGACTCCTTCCAACCACTCCCTGCCCCCACAAAGATAATCACTTCTACTAGGGTACGTTTGCTTTGTCTGGTTTTGCACTTTATATAGATGGAACTCTAAAACTTTACAATATGTATTCTTTTGTTGTCTGACTTGCTTAACTTACATTGTTCAAATAATTACCCATTTTGTAATGAATCGTTGCAAATCATTCATTTCTCATGCTGGATATTATTCCATACGTTGCGTATAGCACAATTTATTTTTCCAGTCTACACTGATGGGCATTTGGGTTGTTTCAGATGTGGGGTTATTAATTCTATCAATGTTCTTAGTTACTATCTTTCAGAGCACAGGCTTCTCCTGGATATAGCCCTAGCAGTGGACTTGCCAGATCATAGTGTAGACATATATTCATATATTCAAGTGGGTGGCACCAAATGGTTCCCCAAAGTGGTTGGACAAGTCTGCATTCCTGCCAGCAATGGAAATTCCAGTTCATCTACATCCTTGCCAACATCCGGGGCTGTCTGGCTCGTTAGTGTTAGTCATTCTGGTGGGTATGTAGTGGTATCACACTGTGGTTTTAATTTGCATTTGCTTGATAATTAAGGAGAAGTTTCTCAGCTTCCTTAGTCATTAGAGAAATATCAAGTGATTTTTGAACCATGGAAATATATTACCTACTCAAGAAAATACATAAACATTTTCATTATTTTAAAAAGAATTCATGAATCCAGGGTCTGCATTGCAAAGATTAAAGCCCATAGAAGGTGTGTGTGTGTGTGTGCGCGCGCGCGCGCATGTGTGTATACATGTGCATGTATATGCATGGGTACATACTTGTGTTTTACTGATTAATGGTGACTTCGGGCTAGCAGAAATGTTTCTGCATCAACCAGACAACATTGAACAAGAAACATGAAAGACCCAGAATCTCAGGAAGAGAGCCACAGCCCTGGATCATTAGTGGGGTTCAAATTCCCCCAGAATCTTCCTACCTCCTTCTCCTTCAAGGGGGTGTAGTGTGGGAGGTTGATCTGGGCCTGTTCAGGAATTAAGAGCCGGAATTTGTTTGTTCCATTGGGTTGAAGTGGCCAGTTGTCACTGAATGTGCAATAATCTTTGATGTCCCAGATCTAGGCACAAAATGTGGGTTAGTGGCCCGGCATCCCTTGACACCAACACCAACTCACGCTGTGGACCCCTCCCAAGCTACTTCTCTTCACTCTGAGGTGCGAGTGAGGCAGGTCTCACTCACACCTCTGAGATACCCAGACGCTCAGGGTCAGAAGGGACCCAAGGGAACTTGTCGGCCAGACCCATGAGCTGGCACACAGAGAGGGTGTGACTGGCCCATGGACAAGAGATTCTTGCCTCATGTCTCACCCCAAAGCATAGAGTTGGCTCCTGAGACAGCTGTTCACAGAGAGATGCATAGCTGGGGGTGAGGGAGTTGTAGGAAGAGAACAATGGAACAGGGGACCTACTGGGGGGTCCTTTTGGAACCATGTCCTCACTTGTGGGTTTTACTGCCCACTGTTTTACAAATGAAACCAGTACCCAAAAGGAGATGAGACAAGGCTAGCGCCACATGGAGCCAAGAGGTGACCGGAGCTTGGCAGACGCCAGCCCCTCAATCTCAAGCCCGTGCCTCCTCACCTTGATGTATCCTTTACAGTCCCCTGTGACAAGGATCAAGTCTTTCTCATCTGTGGCCATGGCGCCCACAACCACATCCTCCTTGTCTTCAAAGCCCACAGGGAACTTCCCCAGCAGGCCTCCGTCTCCGTGGATGGACCAGGCATAGATGTGGCCGTCCGTGCAGCTGCTCAGCAGCGCGGCTGTGTGTGGCAGGCGGGGCCTGGTCTGCAGGAAGATGATCTGTGCAAGAGAGGCGGGCCCGCTCAACAGTGCTGTGAGCTGGGGCTCACCCCGGCCACTGTCACACACAGTGCTGAGGGGCTCGGGCAAGTCACCACACCCCCTCGCTCCCCCAACTTCCTAGACGCCCAGTTAGAAAGGTGATGATCTACCACACTTCCCACGTAGCTGGTTACAAGGAATATTTGCTGCACTATGAGCTACTTGAGGGCAGAAGTTTGTGCCTTTTTTTTTTTTTTTTTTGCTCACTCTTTTTACCCTTAGCAACTACCATGGTGCTGACACATGGTACATAATCAGTGAACATTTATTGAATGAAGGCATACAAATCTGATGCATCCTAAGGCTCAAACAAGATTTTCTAAGACCTATAACTCCACTCAAAGAGATCTGAAGACCATACTCATTTTCCTTCCATTCTGCTTCACATACGTCTACAGTAAAATGCCATATTTTCCAGCCAGTTGCCAAGAAAGCATTTTAACCAAATTCTTGTTCAAGTCTTGTTTTGATCACGCCCCTCTGCTCACTTTCACCCTACATGTCACTGCTGTGGCCCAGGCAGGGGTGATGGGGGGCTGACAGTTACCATGCATGCCTGGAATGAGGAGAGAGCTGCTCTCCTGACCCCCACCTTGCATGAGAGGACAGGCAGTAGAGTGAATCAGGCCAGACAGGGGAAATTGGAGGCCTTCCATTCATGCTATGTGAGAAACTGCAGTGTGGTGGCTTATGTGTCACCAACAATAAAAATGCTCAAATATCCCAACTGACATACATGTCCAAAACAAAACACTTACCCTGCTTCCTGCTGGCCCAAATGGCAGGGTCAGAGAACCAGGAGTCCCTAAACCAGAGACAAAGGACAAGCATTTCCCCCACTTTATGCATGTGTACTTGCACATACTACAAGATGTGGACAGCAAAAATGAGAAGAAATTTAAATCACCCCCCCCCAAAATGCCAATACCCAGAAATAATCACCATGAAGGTTTTAATGCATTGTCTTTTTAAAAAAATTTTTAGGGGCGCCTGAGTGGCTCAGTCAGTTGAGTGGCCAACTTCGGCTCAGGTCATGATCTCACAGTTCGTGGGTTCGAGCCCCGTGTTGGGCTCTGTGCTGACAGCCAGCTCAGAGCATGGAGCCTGTTTCAGATTCTGTGTCTCCCTCTCTCTCTGACCCTCCCCTGCTCATGCTGTCTCTCTCTCTCTCTCTCAGAAATAAATTTTAAAAAATATTTAAAAAATATTTTAAAATACTTAAAATTTTTTTAATGCTTTTATTTTTTTTAGAGAGAGAGACAGAGTGCAAGTTGGGAAGGGGCAGAGAGAGAGGAAGACACAGAATCCGAAGCAGGCTCCAGGCTCTGAGCTGTTAGCACAGAGCCCGGTGCGGGGCTCGAACTCACAAACTCCGAGATCATTACCTGAGATGAAGCTGGACGCTCAACTGACTGGGCCGCCCAGGCGCCCCTAATGCATTGCCTTTAAAGACTTTCATTATATTTTTAAAATATAAAATATACATGTAAAAATAGACAAAAATACCAATGGAAGAAGAGAGATCCCAGAAATAGATTATAAAAGACTCTACTATTATATAAGAATAGAATTTCAAGCCAGTGGAGAAAAGATAAACTATGCAATAAGTGGCATTTGAACAAGTAGCTATCGATTTAGAAAAAATATTTTTAGATTCATGTATCACACCATACACAAAACTACTTAGATGGAACAAGAAGATGACTAAATATATATACAATTATAAATGTCTAGAAGAAAATACGACAAATTTTTCTGTGATCCTGGGATAAATAATGCCTTTCTCTATTGTCACAAAGGAAAATAACAAACATGGCTAGATAAAGACTAAAACTTCAATGTGCTATCACAAAGACAGATGAAGTGAAAATATCTGCAATACACCCTGGGCAAAGGATTCACTTTGCAAAGCACATCTAAGGAGCTGTAAGAAATTAATGCAAAAAAGAATAGACAAGGGATATAAATGGATGTTTAATTCATGGAAGAAATACAAACGTCTAGCAAACATATAGAAAGCTCAATATTACAAATAGTCAAAGAAACATTTTTTAAAAAATTCCAGGGGCGCCTGGGTGGCTCGGTCAGTTGGGCGTCCAACTTCAGCTCAGGTCATGATCTCACGGTTTGTGGGTTCGAGCCCTGTGTCGGGCTCTGTTGGAGCCTGCTTTGGATTCTTTGTCTCCCTCTCTCTCTGACCCTCCCCTGTTCATGCTGCCTCTCTCTCTTTTTCTCTCTCTCTCTCAGAAATAAATAAAACATTAAAAAATTTAAAATAAAATTCCACCCACCAGGCTGGCAGGAATTAAGAATAGGCTAATATCCATTCCTGGCTTAGTGTAAGAACAAAGGCAGACTCACACACTGTTGGAGGGAAGTCTTCTTGGAGAGCAAAACGGCTTCATCCATTAAAATGTAAACTGTGTTCAGTTGGTCGACCCATCAATCATACTTCTGGAAAATCTAGCATAACTGCACAGACAGATCTATAAGGATCTCAATCACACCTTTGTTTATAATAGCAAACAACTAGGAACAGCTTAAACGTCTAATCAACTGGGCATTCATTAAGTAAATTATAGTGAATCTGAAGAAATACACTGCAGCCAGGGGTAGACTTACCAGTGAAGTTCATAAAGCTTAAGGCAAAGTTCAAGGTCAAGTTCAAGGCCCTTCCAAGGTCCCAGGAGGAATTAGCAACTTGTGGTGACTATTGTGATGATCAGTTGTAAGTTTGAAAATTTATTGCCCTTTCTCACTCAGATGGTTAAGAGACACATGAAAAAATGCTCAACATCACTCATCATCAGGGAAATACAAATCAAAACCATAAGGAGATACCGCCTCACACCTGTCAGAATGGCTAAAATTAACAACTCAGGCAACAACAGATATTGGCGAGGATGCAGAGAATGAGGAACTCTCTTGCACTGCTGGTGGGAATGCAAACTGGTGCAGGCACTCTGGAAAACAGTACAGAGGTTCCTCAAAAAATTTTAAATAGAACTATAGCCAAAGTATGGAAAGAGCCCAAATGTTCATCAACTGATGAATGAGTAAAGACGATGTGGTTTACTGGGGGCACCTGGGTGGCTTAGTCAGTTAAGTATCTGACTGGATTTCAGCTCAGGTCACGATCTCACAGTTCATGAGATAGGGCTCTGGTGCTGACAGCGTGGAGTCTGCTTGGGATTCTCTGTCTCCTTCTTTCTCTGCCCCTCCCCTGCTTGCACCATACTCTGTGTGTGTGTGTGTGTGTGTGTGTGTGTGTGTGTGTGTGTGTGTGAGAGAGAGAGAGAGAGAGAGAGAGAGAGAGAGAGAGAGAGAGAGAGAGAGAAATAAATCTCTGTGCTGACAGCTCAGAGCCTGGAGCCTGTTTGGGATTCTGTGTCCCCCCCCCCCCCCCGCCACCCCTCCCCTGCTTGTATGCACTCTCTGTAAATAAATAAAAACCATTTTTTAAAAATCTCATTATTTATCACTCTTAAAGTAAATTTTGTCATAATCATACTCCATATCAAGCATTCTCTTACAACGTGATTCCTCATAGCTGCACAGGATTCACTAGAATGACGTGCCACAAAGATCTCCAACTTCTGAACTGGGGAAAACTGAAGCTTCCTCCTCAACCCTGGGACAGCTTGAATGGGCAGGCTGAAGCTATGTGATGGGCAGAGACCTTTGCAGCTCAGAGAGGGCCGTGGGCCTGCCTGCGAGAGCACTCGGTCAGGGCTGTGTGGCCAGTGTTGGGAGTGGACAAAGTGAAGGGGCCACAGTAGGATACCCCACCCTGGACAGGACGGAGCAGGATCCCTGTGGGTGGAGGGCAGGTAACCCACGCTCTGCCTTTTGCACTCTGTACCTGGCCCCTGAAACCTCAAAGACAGTCCCCTGCCCACTTCGGAAAGAGCCTCAGGACTGATGTTGGATATTCTAGCCTCACTCAACCCAGTGGTCCCAGACAGTTCTCAAGTGCAGAGGGCCTAAAGGTCTGCCTGGAGACCCCATCAGCAGAAGCTGAAGCTGCCCATGTGTTTCAGAGGGATTTGCACTCCCCACCCATCTGGTCCTTCCCCACTAAGGAAAGGGCCAAGGACCGAGGTTCATCTACAGACCTTAAGAGACACAGCTGTGTCTGGATCTATTCCCTTGTCTCCTTCCAAGTGTCCTTTCTGCCATACCCTGCCATCTCCTGAGATGGCCAGACAGAAATAGTGGCAAAGGAGACCTGACAGGTAAGAGTCCCCCAGGCGTTCTTGCCCCAGTCCACCCTCTCTCTCATCCACAAAGGAAAGGCTGGGACTGAGGGTGACCCAGGAGCTCCGGACCCTCTCCAGGACACCATCCGGAAAAGCTCCCCTGTTTGCCACCCAATTCCCCAGAGGGAAAGGACTTTGCTGCCTAAGAAACAATGGGGGTGGAAGACAGAGCATTTGGAAGCCAGGAAGGAGAGCCGGCGTCCGGAGGGGGCCAGCCTAACATGGACAACTCAGGAAACTACAGATGCTGGTGCGGATGTGGAGAAACGGGAACCCTCTTGCACTGTGGGTGGGAATGCAAACTGGTGCAGCCACTCTGGAAAACAGTGTGGAGGTTCCTCAAAAAACTAAAAAAAAACAAAAACTACCTACCACCCAGCAATAGCACTACTAGGAATTTATCCAAAGGATACAGGAGTGCTGATGCATAGGGGTACGTATACCCCAATGTTTATAGCAGCGCTTTCAACAATAGCCAAATCATGGAAAGAGCCTAAACATCCATCAACTGATGAATGGATAAAGAAGATGTGGTTTATATACTCAGTGGAATACTACTTGGTGATGAGAAAGAATGAAATACTGCCATTTGCAGCTACATGGTGGAACTGGAAGGTACTATGCTGAGTGAAATAAGTCAGTCAGAGAAAGACAGATATCATATGTTTTCACATATGTGGATCTTGAGAAACTTAACAGAAGACCATGGGGGAAGGGAAAGGGAAAAAATAGTTAAAAACAGAGAGGGAGGAAGGCAAACTATAAAAGACTCTTAAATACAGAGAATAAGATGCCTGGGTGGCTCAGTTGGTTAAGTGTCTGACTTCGGCTTAGGTCATGATCTTACTGCTCATGAGTTTGTGCTGACAGCCTGGAGCTTGCTTCAGATTCTGTCTCTTCTCTGCTCCTCCCCTGCTTGTGCACACACTCTCTCTCTCTCTAACATAAAATAAAATAAAACTTAAATACAGAGAACAAATACCAATATTTGAGGGGGGATAGGGGGAGAGGGGAAGGGAGGTGATGGGCATTGAGGAGAGCAGTTGTTGGGATGAGCACTGGGTGTTGTATGTAAGCTATGAACCACAGGAATCTACCCCAAAAAGCAAGAGCACACTGTATATACACTATATGTTAGCCAATTTGACAATAAATCATATTTAAAAAAAAAAAAGTAGGCCAGCCTTAGACATGACTGCCAGGACCCTCCCCCCACCCGCCACCAGCCATAGTACCTGGAATTTCACCAATAGACATTTAGCCCTTTGCATACAATCTCCAAAGATTCTGCCAAGATTCATGATACAAATAATATCATACTCAGATCACCAGGCCAGATTACAAAAGCCAAGGAATTGCCAATGGTAGCAGTATAAATAGTCAAGGACACAAATGTTAAAAACAAACAGATCTGGAATCAGGCCTTAGCTCAGCCATTTTCTGATAGTGAGAATCTTGGTAAAGTCACCTTACCTCATTGAACCCCAGTCTCTTTAGCCACAAAATGGAAATTATAATAGTACATACCCACCAGGGCTGTTTGAGAGAGAAAAATAATTCATGTAAATGTTGCAACTCACATCTACTTAGAGCTCAGGCAATATTAACTACTGCTGATACTATTCATAGGCTGGAACATAATGCAACATATCAAAAGCTTCCTAAGAGTGCATTTCTAATCTTGGGAAATAGACAAGAGAGCCAACAAATTCGTGTACAAAGATGTTCATAGCAATGTTAGCTATAGAGGCAAAACCTGGAAATCTAACCACCTTCCAGCAACAGCAGGCCGGCTGGATAAATCGGGTACTATATACACCAAAATACCACGCGGCTGCTACGAGAGGGCCGTGGCTTCCCAAACATGGGCAGGAAGAGATGCCATGAGGTGTTGTGTGAAAAAAAACAAATTGCAGAGCCGTGTATGTATAATATGATACTATTTGCTGAAAAAATATTTATCGGTACATATATGCATTCGTACACATATATGATTGTGTACGCACAGACAAATGTCTACAAGGATACAACATGCGTTAACACTAGTCACCCCTGGAGACTGGGGAAGAAGGTGAGTCATTCTTTTACTTCATACACCCCTATAAGGCTTGAACTTTTCATTTTAAATGAAGGACAGGTACCACTTCCTAATTAGAGAGAAAGAGAGAGAGAGAGAGAAGTGCTCTTTCTTGAACATTCCAAATAAGCTCTCCTGTGAGGGCCTTTGTGCCTGCTGCTCCCTCTGCCAGGGGCACCATCCTTCCAAATAACATCAGGCTTCAGGCTCTGTGCAAGTGCCACCTCCTCTGTGAAGCCTTCCCTGATCCCCCTATGTAAACAGCCACACCCTCTCTACCTCCCATGCCACTCCCCCTACCCTGGCCTTGGCTTTCTGGTTCTCTGCTGCACTTGCTCCCCTTGTGACCTACAGTTTATTTTACTAGCTAGTTAATTGTCTCACCCCCAACTAGAATGTCAGCTCCGTGAGGGCACAGGTTTGTTTCTGCTATGTGCTGCTGCCTCCCCAGGGCCTGGAGCATGGGAAACACTCAATGAATAACTGTCTGGGCCCTGAGCGGACTAGGTCACAGTCAAAGGTCAGGCTTTGAGTCATCTACTTTGGTGGGATCAGAGGCTGAAAAGGATGGGATCTTTTGAGCAACTCTGGTTCTGGGAATCCACCTTTTTGATGCACTCGCGCAGGCGCACAGAGGCATAGGCACAGGGATTTACGATGCAGAGCTGCTCAAAGTTGAAAACTGAGACCAACCTACATGTCTATCAAGAGAAGCCTGGCTTAAGAGTGTGATACATCCACACTAGGGGGCGCTATGCAATTGTTACAAAAAAAGTTAAGAATAAGATGAGTTTAAATTACTGAGATGAAAACATATTCATGCCATATAGTTAAATTTTTAAAAAGCAAATGGCAGGACATAGCTATAATTTTACATCACTGGTCTAAAAATACAAAGGATGAAGGCGAACCCAGCCTACCAATTCGGCGGTGGTGACTAGGGCTGCTACTGTTGGGTGCCATGTGGCTGCTACCGCTTCTTCTTCTTCTTTTTTTTTTTTTAACCAACTGGGAGTACTTCTTTTAAAAGGTTTTTTAAAAAGCTTTTTGAAAAGTAATCTCTATACCCAATGTGGGGCTCGAACTCACAACCCCAAGATCAAGAGTCACATGCTCTACTGACTGAGCCAGCCAGGCGCCCCTCAGGCACTTTTTTAAAAGAGGGGAGAGCACATTCAGAACCTGGAGGAGAGACTGCCCAGCCTCTCGCAGCTCTCCACTCTGCAGGCGCGGGGCCCAGCTCTGCTGGGCACTGCCCCCGTTCCCAAGTCCCTGGCGCCCTGGAGCTGCAGAAGGGGGAGGTCCTGCCACGCCCTAACACGGCTACGGTTTGGATTTTCACTGGGCCCTTGGTAGAAACCCAGAGAGTCTCCAAATTACCTTGTGTTTGCAGATCGAAGCTAGAAGGAGCCTGAACGGTCACCTGGTCTAGTGGTGACAGCAGAGTGAGGGGCGTCCAGGGTCAGAAGGGGGAAAGGGGCAGGAGGAAGGGAGAAGAGCAGAGATGACCCAGACCCCTCTCCCCTGTTGTGCAAGACATCCTCCCAGAGCAGGGGTGGGGGTTACCAGCAGGTCCCAGCAATGCTGCTTCTCCTCCGACCCAGGCCAGCCCCAGGCCAGCCCACCAAAGGGAGGGGGGGGGGACCCTGCACACCCCTCTTCCCCAGACACAGCAGCCCCAAAGCCAGCATCCTGAGTGGTGCCTTCACCTCCACCACGCCCCTCCGGGTCCAGGGAGAAGGGGCTGGCGCCTTAGGCCCTGCCCTTCCCAGCGCATTGACCCCAGCTCGGCTCACACCCCAGACGCTGCCTGAGCGTGGCCCACCTTCTCCACCGAAGCACTGGACTGCAGCAGCACCTTCTTCCGGAACTCCCCTCCTCTCTTCTGAGCCTCTCTGAGGACTGACCATCTGCCATAGGGTATTCGGAACAGCTTAGGGCTTTCAGCACGGAAAGGTTTCTGGAAAGCAAAATGGGCCCCCCAAGTCATCATGGGGTGGGGTCGGGGGTGTCTCCCCATCCTGTGGGGGACAGAGACCGGAGACAGACGCTGAAAGAGGGAGCACTGCGGCCGCCCTCAGGAGACCCACCGCCCTGGGAAAGGGACAGCCAGGTGTCTAATGGGTCCCACCATAAAGACACTTGGAAGCCGTGGAGACTCCTCTCGCGCTACCAGGAGCTTCCGCTCTCAGGGCAGAGAACTCATGCCTTTGGGGAAACCCCCTCTTTGTTCTGGAGGAGATACCCCGTCCAAAGGGGAGGCCTGGGGAGCGCATACTCGTGGCTCTGGGAAACGTGCAGGCGGTGGCGCCACCCCGAGGCTCTGTCCGCGTGTCCTGGAGTCACGCACTGTGCGAGTGTCTTCGAGTGAGGGGGCTGCGCAGGACAGAAGTGTGCGCGGCTTTCACCTGATGGGCCTCGAGTGTTCGGGGAAGACAGGGCTCCTCTTCCAAGGCTCAGTTCCCAGAACAGGAATCAGGCTTCAGTTGCTCACGTTTTCTGACCCCGGACCCACACAAGACATACTGCATCCACTGCTGAGTGCGGAGGCCAAACCACCCTGCTCTGTCTCCTACTCCCCCAACACGAGACTGTCTGACAAGCCTGGGAGGGTACATCCTGCAGCAGAGCTGAGGGCTCAGAGAAGGGAAGTAGTCCGCCTCTGTGGAGGCCTCAGACCACTGGAGCCTGGCCTCCAGGGAGATGAGGCTTGGTGGGGGTGGCTGGCGGGCCCCAGTGGCTCATCTCTGCCAGGTTACACTCGCTGGAGGAACTAGGAAGTAGCCCAGGATCGGGCCTGTGACTCTAGGATGCCTGGACTGTCTTCCCTCCAGCTTCTGCCCGCAAGCTTAGAGACGTGGGTCCATCTTAGCCATGTTCTGGGAAGGGACCGTGCCCAGGCTTGAGGCAGCGAGAGGGGTGGATGAGGTGAATTCAGCCAGGGAGATGGCCTGTCTGCAGTGCTCAAAAGGAGCTGGAAACAGTGCCTCCGTGTAAGAACATACACACACCGCGCAGCCAGCGGGCCAGCTCCCGTCCCTACCTGGGGGGGCAGGGGCCCCTCTGGCTCCTTGTCTCTGGGGCATTTCATCAGCGGGGGAGCCGACGCCAGGTTCCGCTGCAGGCTGGCACTGGCCGTGGTCTTGGCCCCGGGGCGCGGGCGCCGTACTGAGGGTTCATGTGCCCACTTCTCGTGCTCCGCACAGGGCCTGCTGGACCTGAAACCCTCTGCCGGGGGGTTGTCCACTTGTTGGATCTGTGCCGGGGAGACAAGCGCCCTTGCGCACTGCAGTGTCCCCGAGGGAAACGTGGGGTTTCCTTGGCCAGTGCTAACACTGCAGCCCCCCAGGCGCCCCAGGGCTTGCTCCCTAGGAACCCAGCACCTTTACAGGCATCAACCAGAGCTTATAACCCTGTCCGTGGGCCAACTGCAAACGCCCAGAGTACCCAAAGGCAGAAGACTGCTCCCGTGAGGGACTCGGTCTCCCCATCCATAAAATGGTCTCCAAACATTTTGGAGGGTTTTGTTTTTTTTTTAATCTTAAGGGAAGCTCTAAAGTATAAAGTAGGTAAAAAGCTGAGAAGCCACTGCAGTAGCCTCAGAGCATTTCTCTGCAGCATGTTTGGAAAATTATTGGACGAGGTTACCCCAAAGTCCCCTTCCAGCTTTAATCTGCAGAGAGAGGGTAATTCAGAGAAGGTGTGGGTTTCCTAAGCCCCTACCATGGGCCCGATGAGCCCACAGTGGTGATGCGTGAGAGTGATGGGTAAGAGATGAGCTGCCTTCAGGAAGGGAGTCATCTATGAGACAGAACAGGATCAGCAGTGCACTGGCTCCACAGTCAAGACTACCTGGGTCTGGACCTATCCCTTCTTGGCTGTGCAACCTCAGGCAAGATGCTTAACCTCTCTGTGCCTCAGTTCCCTTGTCTGTCAAATGAGGATAATTACAGACACTAGCACCCACTTGTGTGGCTCCCAGCCTCCTCCCAAAGTGGTGGTCCCATGCCCTCTCCTTCCTGGGGGTCCTTCCTACCCCCGGGGCCCTACAGCTGATTCTGGCCCACCTCAGAGAGACAGTGAGGGGTGCTTCTGTTGACCATACCTTCGTGGGCAGTGAAGGCAAGGGGCCCTTGGAGGCGTTGAAGTTGAGGATGGGCTTGAACAGGCTGACGCTCCAGAGGAAAACGTCCCCGTTGTACGAGGAGGTCCCGAGGAACTGGTTCTGGTACCTGGCCATGCTCAGCACATCCTCCTTGTGCGAATGCTGCCAGTGGTGGTACAGGACCATCGGCTTGGTCTTGCGGAGCCTGCGCACAGGGCCGGGGGCGGAGGGGGGGCAGAGTGCTCAGCCTTAGCGGTGCACGGGGTGGGGGTGGGGGTCCTCGAGGCCTTCAGATTCCAGGCAGAGCGCTTGGCCTTAGTGTGGTATGGGGTGGGGGTAGGGGGTCCCCGAGGCCTTCAGATTCTGGGAGGCAGCTGAGAAGAGGACACTCAGGTTGAAGCTCTGCTCCGCTGACCTCTTTCACTAAGCACCTACTATGTGACTACTACAAAGGGCCTGGCCTAGGGGTTTACATCAACTAATCTTACAGATTCGCCTTATTCAGACCGCTGAGTAAGGCTTAAAGGAGGGGAGCCATGGCCCAGGAAAGGCCCTCTGAAGAGGAAGAGGACTCGTACCTTCTGTTCCTTCTGCCTGGAATGTTCCTCCTACCACAAGCCCTTTGCTGCTTCACTGAGAAGACACCACTCCACCCACAACATTCTCAGATGAGTGCTTCCTGACCATCCCTGAGACTAGATCAGATTTCCATTCCCTTCCCGTAGAAACCTATGCTTTGGGGGCATCTGGATGGCTCAGTTGGTTAAATGTCTGACTTCGGCTCCAGTCACAATCTCGTGGTTTGTGAGTTCAAGAGCCACATCAGGCTCTGTACTGTCAGCACGGAGCTCGCTTCGGAACCTCTGTCCCCCTCTCTCTGCCCCTCCCCTGCTCACTCTGCCTCTCTCTCTCTCTCAAGAATATTAAAAAACAAAACAAAACAACAAAACAAACCTGTACTTTTTCCCCACCACAGCACTCAATAGACTTTACCATTATAAATGAAGTTATTCGATTAGCATATGCCTCCACTAGGAAGATGGAGACCCCACCATTCTTGTTTACACCCACCCCCAGCACATAGCACAAAGCCTAGAACACGTTAGCCTCAAGGAACCATGGACAAACAATGGATGAGCAGATGAAGCAAGGGACGTTACCCACCATGAATTTCTTGCTTGTCTTCCTGCCGCTAGCGAAACTAGGAACAGGGGACCCACCTGAAGCAGAGAGAACCACCAGCCGCCCTTAGCTGCCCCACACCCTTGCTACTCACATGAAACAACTGATTCTCTTACTCCACCCAGTCACGTAGAACACCTTGTTCATAGGGACAATCCCGCTAACCTGTTGACGATGAAAGAAAATAGAGCCCTAAGGTGCCAGAGAAAATGGTCCTGGGCCCCAAATCTCTTCCGCATTGGACCAAGCAAGAAGTCAACCTTTTCCATGATGCTAAGAGTCCTCATATATTTCTCAGAGCGCTCTCACATCACATGATTCACTTGATAGACTCAGAGGAGGTAGACAGGGTATGTATCCATGACCATTCAATAGAAGGATGACTGGGAAGGCCAAATAACTGATAGGCTCTGGACCAGTACTCAGATCCCTGGCTACATGGCCGAGTGCTCCTTCTGAGTTGGTTCAAGGACTTTCATAAGACTTAGTAATGGGCTCAGGTCCCAACGTGAGACTGCTGGCTTTGCCCCACACCACACCCACAGGCTGTCCTTATAACCCTGTCCCTCTGACCCGGCATTTCCCCGACAGGAGTGAGCGTGGGGCTCACCCGGCCCCGCCGTTAGGAACGCCATCCACAGCTCTCCTACTTGGGGAAGGGAGTGCCCACAAATTAAAAGAACAAGAGTAGCTAGCATTTGTAGAATCCTTTTTAAGGGCAGATGCTGTTCCCTAGCTTCACCTTACAGGCAAGAATGCAAGGGCTCAGGGAGGCAAGAAGCCAGGCCGTCCGTAGGCACAGCCTTAGAAGGAGGCATAAAAAAAGACAGTGCACCCCCAGGGTCATGAGAGGTGTGGTTTGCTTCTCACAAGGCAGCCCTGGAGCCGGTTGACCGGCCAGACTGACCTCCAGCTGGTCCGGGTTGGGGAAGGTCAGCAGGCACTCGCCCATGGTGTAGTTCCACATCTTTATGGTGCCGTCGCGCAAACCTGTGAGCAGCCGCCGCTCTGGCTCGTCCAGGCACATGGCAGTCAGCTCCACGCGCTGCTCCCCGGTCACAGAGAACTCCATCATCCGCCTGCCCGTCGCCATCTCCCACACACTCACCAGGCTGCCCAGGCAGCCGCTCACCACCTGTGAGGAGCACACAGCTGGGGCTTCTGGAGAGGAGAGCGTCCCAACTCCCAAGGGTGGCCTCCACCTGTCATGGCTGGGACCAGCCCAGCCCCCCGCCTCCCTGCAATGCACTGAGAAGACAGACATTCGAGGCATTCCTGCTGTTGGATAAGCCTCTCTTGAAAACAGGCCTTCCTCTGCTCTGTAACACAGGCCAGTGCAAACAGCCACAACTCTTTCAGAAGGAACCACATTGGTGAAATCCCCTTGAACTCAGAATCTATCCAGATAAAATAATCTCTTAAATCAGAAAAGATGTTTACTGAAGCATCATGAATCGTGGAGGGAGAAAACAACAGGAAATGCACTAACTACTCTCTATGAAAGGAAATACTGAGAACAAAGGATAGTCACTCCACTACAATGTAACAGTAGCAGGTGAGCCTCTTTCAGACCAACCCTCCTGCTACAAAAGCTGGGTTTTTGTTTCTTTTTTTTTTAACTGTTTGAAGGCCTCTAAGAGCCTTAAGGCATGCGGGGTGGTGGTGCCAGGAACCACCAGAGAGGTAAGCGATGGCCAAAGGCCATCCCTGCAGCAAATACAGCCTGTCCCGCTCAGAGCCCAGGCCAGAAAAGGGGTCCCAGTGAAAGTGGGAAGACGGCCTGGGAGCCCCTTCTGTCCCCACCGCTCAAAAACCACATGCCCAGTTGTTCTGCTCCACCCGGAGATCTCTACTCCGGACCAGGGCACTAGTCTTCCCTGGACTAGGGCCTTCCTGGATAAGGACACCCACCCCGGGAACCTCGCAGGGTGGCCCACACATTGTGCTCCATCTCCTACTCTGCGTACAGAAGGCCGCGCGTGCAGAAGTGGCCTGCAGCAGTGGCCAGGGGCTCGCAGGCTCAGGGAGTGAGGTGATCCGCTAACAAAGTGGTAGAGCTCCCGGTCCCCCCTCGGGCCACTGACCCCTCTGCGGGGCTGCTTCTCACCCCCAAGCCGCTGTCCCACACCACCATCAACGCTATGACTTGCAGCCCACCCCCTCACTGTGCTGACTGCTGCTTGGACGCAGCTCCGGGCACAGCGGGAGGTCTGGGTCCTACCCTGTGTCACCTGGCACTCCTGGCAGCCGAGGGACGGCCAGCTCCAGCCCACTCACCTGCTTAAAGATCTTACTGTAGAGGACGGCGCACAAGGGTGTGCTGTAAGTTGAGGTCTTCTCCCCTCCTTTCTCAGGCCCCTCGGTCTCCAAGTACCCTTTTAGGATCCCAATCTGCAGGTGAGGAGAGGGGCAGGCAGCTGGGCAGTCAGAAGGGCTCTGCCCTCAGGGACTGGCCCCAGGGCAAAACTTCCAATAAACTGCAACATTAAGACATCCTGACTGAGTGTGGGCCTGAGTCCAGCGAAGCCTCCTGGCTCCTCAGCATGCCTGCCGATACCTCTCACCCCTACTCCGTGGGGTCCCTCATAACTTCTGGGGAGCACAAAGCCTCAATCTGGTGTCCCCTCCTCTAGGGAGACTTCCCTGACTACACCCCACTTAAGGCTAGGCTAAGGATTCTTTCTCTATGCTCCAAGAAGCACCTGGCATAAATCTCCATCACAACACGAAGCATTTTCTCAGACATTCTCTGTTCGTCTACCTCACAGGCTCCTCGAGGGATGGGACGGTGTCTAAAGAACGTGTTCTCTGCTCCCTGCCTCCCTCCTGCGCAGCACTCACGGAATAGGTGGTGCAGATGAGGCTGTCTTCATTCTTGTGGAAGTAGACGCTGGTGATGGGGCAGTTTCCTAGGGCAATAAGCCTCCCGCAAAAGGACTGGAGGCATATGTAGTCCTGCATGTCCCACACACGGATATTCTGGGGGGTGGGAAGCGGGCAGAGAGGCCGAAAGTGGGCCCGGGGGTGCGGCCGGCACACCCACTGCGCGATCCCCACCGCCCAACAGAGATGCCGGTCTTAGGCTCCGAGGAGGGAACTGAGGCAATCCCTCCATGGGCCTCCCTCCATGGCCTCCACTCAACATGCGCCCCTGCAGACGCAGTGATGCTGTTGGTGGTTATGGTCACTGATTGGCAGCACTTACTCTATGGAGATGGTTCTAATCTAGTTCCTTTATTCTGAGTTTTTCTACCCCAGAGTGAATTCCTTCCCTCCCCTCCCCTCCCCTCCCCTCCCCTCCCCTCCCCTTTTCTCTTCTCCCTTTCACAATAGGTATTGTGCTGATCCACTCTGGCTGCCTCAGCTAACGCCAGGCAGGACGCACAGTGGCTACCAACATAGTTGCCAAGAGACCCCACCTGTCCCCAGGGCAGCCCCTTGAGTTCAAGGGTGAGGAGCTGTCCCTGGAGAGGCCCCACGGAGGTCCCCGGGGACACTGGTTGCTTGGAGACAGCAGCAGCAAGTAGGAAAGGGCAGGGACTGGGATGGACAGGTTCCGCTCCATACCCTGGCTCTGCCCAGCGCTACTGTGAGGACTGGGACCTGCCCCACCTGCCCCCTGACCCCCCCCCACCCCCAGCCTCAGATCCTTCAGCACAGCCCATGACACCCAGTTCTGGGGGCTGCCAGGAGGATGCCAGACAATAGCCAGCGTGGGCTGTGTCGGGGGGGGTGGCCTGGGTGACCCAAGGGTTCCGCAATTCTCAATCTACTGAATCCCAGGAGACACAAACAGCAGATGGGGCAATCCTCTGAACCGGTCGATGCAGGGCCACAAAGTGACAGGCCCTGAGCGAGGAGCCCCGGGCACTGGAGAAGGTCCAGTCAGGCCCTGAGATCCTGGGTGGCTGAGGAGGGGCCCCTGGGAGAACAGAGGTGTGAGTTTGGGTCTGGGGGCAGGGGGAGGGCGAAGGAATGGCCTGCATGTATTATACACCTACTGTGTGCCAGACACGCCCCAGCTGCTTTACCGCCAGCCCTGCTCTCAGCCTCCCAAAAACCCATCCTGTGGGTGAGGGCACTGAGGCTCAGAAGAGGGCAGGGCCTTGCCCAGGAGCAGAGAGTAAGAAGCCAGGCTGGGCTACATGGGAGCGCAGCTCTGGCGGACTGCTCAGAGCAGGCACAGGCCTGGGGGAGGGGGGCTGCTATCAGAGCACCACAGGCCCCTCTTGGCGACTCCTCCCTCTACGCCCCAGGCTGGGTGTGGAGCCATGGGCAGGGAGGTCACGCCACTCCCCTGGGCCCCAGGCTGCTGCCAACCGGCGCCCCCTGGCCACCGAGCCAGGTCATCATCCCAGGGTCAGCGTCCTGCCCGAACAGGAGCTGTGGGTGTAAGAGCCACGCCACACGAGGACAGCACCTTGTCCTTGGAGACGCTGAGGAGGATGCTGCCGTTTCTGTTGTTCACAAGGATGTGCGTCACGGAGGTCTGATGCCCCTTCATCAGCCACACGGGCCTTTTTGAGAAGAAGGGGTTCCACAGGCGGATGAGGGGGTCATAGCCACCAGTCACTGGGGTCAAAAACCGGGCATCAGGCACTGGGGTCCTCTGCTGAGAACTCCTCCTGGGATCACGCCTTGGACCCCAGGCAGGTGTGGCAGATGGTGGGGGGTGGGGGGCGGTCCCAACGATCCACCCCTCTGCTGCTCCTGCCCCACTACCTCCCCTTCCACACGAGCAGAGACTGAGTCACCACGCTGCCCCAGGTGCCCGCGAGCAGGGACCGGAGCAGCAGGAGAGCAAGCTGGGCCCTGCAAGGCCCCCTCCTCAGCCCCGGTGGTCCCCACGCCCCCAGCAGCCCGCACCCCCGTTTCTGCCAGGCCAGCGGTTTCTGTGTGCCATGAGGCTTACTTACCCACCAAGTTCTTGTCTGGGCAGTAATCAAAGCAGAGAATCCCTTTCCTCAAGTTCAGTACTGATAACCTACAAGAAGGGGATTCCCTAAGGTGCCCGAGGGGCTTGTGGGTTAAGCATCTGACTCTTGATTTCAGCTCAGGTCATGATCTCAGGGTTTGTGAGTTCAAGCCCCACATCTGGCTCTGCCCTTGACAACATGGAGCCTGACTGAGATGCTCTCTTCCTCTCTGTCTCTGCCCCTCTCCCACTTGCTCCCATGTTCTCTCCCTCTCTAAATAAATAAATAAATAAATAAATAAATAAATAAATAAATTGACTTAAAATAACTTAAAGGAAAAGAAGAATGGGGCACCTGGATGGCTGAATCAGTTAAGTATCCAGCTTCAGCTCAGCTCATGATCTCACGGTTCGTGGGTTCGAGCCCCACATCGGGCTCTGTGCTGACAGCTAGCTCAGAGCCTGGAGCCTGCTTTGGATTCTGTGTCTCCTTCTCTCTCTGCCCCTCACCCACTCACCCTGTCTCTCTCTCAAAAATAAATAAGCATTAAAAAAAATTAAGCAGACGGAAAGCAGACATTAAGGAGTTTGCCCAAGGCCATGAGGCTGGCCATGTGGGGACATCAGGATTCATACCCAGGGTGGGTGTGGCAGGAGGGAAAGATGGGGTTCAAGAGGGCCAGGGTGACCCAGGTGAGGGCTTCAGGGAGGTCAGGCCCAAGAGTACTTTGCATCTGCTGTTCCCTCTTACCCATCCATCCTGCCCTGCTGGCTCCTTCTACTCATACTCTCCCTTCAAAACTCAACTCAGAGGCCCCCATTGTATGGTACCCAAGCCCTCAATCACAGTTCGCCTTCCTTGAACTTGTCCCTGACCTGGTTCCTTTGCCACCCCCTCTCCAGCATTCCCATTACCAGCTGGGCCCCAAACCCTCATTGCCCACATTCCACCATCATCCTGGCCTTGGCTTAGTTCAGGCCCCCTTCATTTCTATGCCAGCCTCCTGGCATATCTCTTGACCTCTAGTCCTACACCCCCTCCAAACCTGCCCTCCCTTCTACTGCCAGAAGATTTCCTCAAAAATTTGAAACTTTCAAGAAGAACGTATCAAATAAACATATTTCATTTGTTGCCAAACCAGATACATCTTCCTCTGTGCATATACGCACAGAGAAATCTTCTGGAAGAAATGTCACCAAGGGGCGCCTGGGTGGCTCAGTCAGTTAAACATCTGACTTTGGCTCAGGTCATGATCTCACAGTTCGTGGGTTCCAGCCCCGTGTCAGGCTCTGTGCTGACAACTAGCTCAGAGCCTGGAGCCTATTTCGGATTCTGTGTCTCCTTCTCTCTCTGACTCTCCCCTGCTCTCTCTCTCTCTCTCTCAGAAATAAATAAAACACTAAAAGAAAAAAAAAGAAATGTCATCAAAACATCACCAGAAATTATTTCAGGCTGACTCTCTCATTCGTGCAACAAAGATTTACTGGCTCCTATGCCCTCCCAGGATTACTGGGGACACAGATGTGATGGCCCTGCCTTCATGGAGCTTTCCTTCCAGAGAGAAGCAGCAGGAGCAAATAAATGAACAGAGAGACAAGGAGATGGACATGCACAAATTATGGCAGGTCCCGCAGGGAAATAAACAGGTGGCCTTGACAGGTTAGCTGACGGAGACCAGTCTGCAGATGGCTGGGGGGCAGAGAAGGGACTGGAAGGTCAGAGGGGATTCAGGGGAGGAGGCCATGGCAAGCAGCTCAGGTGGCTTCAACTAGGTGGCGGAGGCAGAAGTGAGAGAAGAGGGGGGCAAGCGGGGGAGAGGCTGTGGGTCAGTCACGGGCTCCCTCGGGCTCCACCCAGGCCGTCCGCTCAGATTCACTGCTGGCTGCAAGCGCCTCAAGAGCTCAGCCCAGGCTGGCTGCCAGGGAGCCAACTCTCAGGCCCACACTGCCTCGGAAGCTGAGGCAGAGTCTGGGGTGACAATGCCAGACCCCACCAGTGGAGGCCACGCCCTAAGAGGTGCTTGCCTGGAACTGAAGACCAGCAATCAGTCAATAGTGCCACCTGCCGGCTGACATTTGTACTGCATGCAGGCAACCCGAAGGGTATGTGCAGGTATGTGTATGAATACATTCTCCAGCCCGCCCCCAAAATACATCTCAGGTCCCCTGTCTCCTCTCCATCGCCCGTGTCCAGGCCATCACCATGTGCAGCCTGAATTATTACAATGGTGCCCCCACTGGAGTCCCCATCTCCATGCCTGCCCACTCCATTTGCAACAGAGTGACCAAAAGGATCCCGTATGCATCAGACCACACCGTTCCCGTGCTCACGATCTAGACACTTATTCATATCTCTTTCCAAATAATTGTAAAAATATATGTTTGAGACAAATGGGGGAAGATTAACTTGGTACTAATGATATTAAAGCATTATACAATTGGGGTCCCTGGGTGGCTCAGTCGGTAAATTTGGCTCAGGTCATGACCTCACAGTTCATGAGTTTGAGCCCTGCGTCAGGCTCTGTGCTGACAGCTCAAAGCCTGGAGTCTGCTTTGGATTCCATGTCTCCCTCTCTCTCTGTCCATTCCCTGCTTATGCTCACTCTCTCTCGTTCTCTCTCTCAAAAATAAATAAAACACCTTAAAAAAAACATTTAAAAATAAAGCATTACACTATTTTGTCTCCTTTGGTGTGAGTGTGAAATTTTTAGTAATGAAATGTTTGAAAAAATAAAAACAGACAACATACAACAAAAAACAAGGGTGTACCAGACAGAGAGGAGCAATTCAAAGGCCCTGAGGCAGGAGAACACCTGAACCACAGGGGGGCCATGTAGCTGGAGTGGGACAGTAGAAGGGGAGGGATTAGGGATAGACCATGGAGACCTTCACGGCCAGGATGAGGTGATCCTGTGATATCCACCTGCCATTTAGACCCAATAAAACAAGAAGTTGAATGAAACACATATCGCAGACATGAGGGAATACTTCCATCAGAACAGAGAAATGAGTCTCTGCTGCAAACCAGCGCCAAGTGAAGCCCCGCCACACTGCCCTGCTCCAGGCATGGAGGCTCCATGCACAGAAGCCCCAAGCGAACCCTGCCACACTGCCCCGCTCCAGGCACGGAAGCCAAGACTGAAACCTCCCACCACATCAGCCTTCTCCGAGGCCCTTGGCCCAACCAGTAGTTAGCTCCAGGGCTTGGGTGAGGGTGTGCGCAGAGTACTCTGGTTAATAGGACACTGGGCGTGCAGTGAGGCCCGGGACACGTCCCCAGCTCAAACGTCTGCTCTAAGACAATCACTTCCTCCCCGAGTCTCAAGTTTCCAATCTGTAGAATGAGGAGTTTAGCCTAAATTAGCCCTACCACCCCAGGATTGAATTTCCCTCTGGCAAGCAACTGGGACAGGAAGGGACAGAGATGGGACCTAAGTGGCCCTCTGTCTTCCAGCTGTGCCTCACCCAGCTGCTCCCCCAGCAAGGCCTTGAATCTCCTGCTGTTCCCATGGGAAGACGGGGCTGCACCTCCTGGTTCCACCTGCCCAGGAGCAAAATGTCACAGACCTAAAGGGCCCAAGGGTCTCCCTGTGAAATGCACAGGGAGAGGTACACACGAAAATGATAGAAGCAGGACATCTGAGAGCAGAGTGAGACATGGGGACTGGGCAAGGGGAGGAGTGCAGGGTTATTTATAATGTTTTTACTTTTTTACAGGGACAACATGTGTACATAGACTTGTGGGACTAATCACTATTGTGAAAGAAGGAAGGGAAGGGAAGGGAAGGGAAGGGAGGGAATAGAGGGAGGGAGGGAAGAAAGAAAGGGAGGAGAGGAAAGGAAAGGAAAGGAAGGAAAAGAATTCACTCTGGGGTAGAAAAACTCAGAATAAAGGAACTAGATTAGAACCATCTCCATAAGTAAGTGCTGCCAATCACTGACCATACACCACCAACAGCATCACTTCGCTAAGCCTTGAGACTAGACTGAGGGAAGGAAGCTATCACCACCTTCTACAGACGGGGACACCGAGTGAGGAACATGGGGGTAAAGCAACTCACATTCATTCCTTCATTGAGAAAATATCTTCCCGACACCAGCCCACACTGTGCGCCGGCTCCTGTGCTGAGTGTTGTGTATAAACCGGACAAAAGAGGCCTATTACGTTTTTGCCGCTGGTGGCGATGATTAAAACCAGACTCCATAAAAGTTTTTGTAGCAGGAAAAAGCAATGGTAACTGTGTGCTGGTGGCTGCTAACTAGGCTTATTGTGCTGATCGTTTCCCAGTATATACAAATACCAAATCATTACGTGGTACACCTGAAACTAACCTAATGCTATTGGTCAGTTACAGCTCAATTTAAAAAATAATAGACCGTAGAGCCCAGTTGCTAACCACCAGCCCCCACTGCTGGCCCACAGGACCACGCTGCTTCCCTGGACCCAGCAAGATCCGCAGGATGCCACCGTCCTGAGGGCGGGCCCACTCTCAGCAGGGACGGCCACCTGTGGCTGAGGTGAAGCTAGACCCTCTGAGGCACCGTCACACCCACCCCCTCCCCACCCCACCACCCCAGGCTGGAGAGAGATGCTCCTCACTTGGGGCTCTCTAGATCTTTGGATGGCAATAATGTCAGCACCAGAGAGGACTTCTCAATGGCCGAACAGGAAGCCACCATGTTCAGCTGGGGGATGAACTTGACCTGCTGGCACCAGTTGGGATGAAGAGCCTGGGAAGAGAGGGACGGTGGTAGGGGCTGGAAGGGCCAGGAAGCCACCACATCTCGTGCCCGCTAGGGATCATGGCTCTAACACAGCGACACGGCCCTATGGTCCCAGCCCAATCCTGTGCCATCACTGGTCAGTGAGACAGGCGAAAAGCGCCCAAGTCCGCTATCACGTGGACTCTTGTTTCTAAGTTAGAGGACAGGCAAGGTCAGGCCCATGTGACATCACCATCACCTCATCCCACGCGGGAGAAAGGATGGATTGGAGGTAGCGGAGCCTTCAGTTCCTCCTATCCACAGGGGGCCTTGGATACTTCCCCTGGGAATGTTTTCCGGTGCTAGTTGAGCAACAAAAAGCAGAGAGCCACTAAACAGAGGGCAGCCTTGACGGCCCAGGCTCAGAATTCTCTAGGTTCTGGCTCCACGGTTCAGCCCATGCTTGGCCTCCCAATTGGAGATCTCCCTCTTCAGGACAACAGAGGGGGCTGTCTGGCGCTGGGCTAGGTTTTACGTGCACTGCCTCACTGGGCATCTATCATGGTGAAGGCGCCGAACGGACCGGGGACACTCAGCAACTGGGGTGGAAAACCAAGCCCAAGACGAAATTCCCACAGAAGATGGAAAAGAAAGTGTTTGTGAGGGACTCTTCCTGATGGTCCGAGGGCCTGAAGGAGCCACCCTGCTGGCGGGGCAAGAAGCATTTAAGAGCCTGGGACCACACAACCCGGGCTGCCCTGAGTGTCAGGTTCATTACTTCATTCATTTAGCTGTTCAACAAGTGTCCTGGAAGCCCGCTGAGGCCCAGCCCTTTAGGCACTGTCCTCCATGGAGACAAGACAACACACGGAGTGCCTGTCCTTAGAAGCTGCCAGCCTGAGATGGTAACAGGGTGAGAAACCAGTGGGTGAACAATAGGAAGTTGGGGGGTGGTGAGCTGTGATGTCGTGATTTGTAATAAAAGATATATATTTAGGGGTACCTGGGGGGCTCAGTTGGTTAAGCATCCAACTACGGCTCAGATCATGAGCTCAAGCTCTGCTCTGGCTCCACACTCTCTCCCTCTCACTCTGCACCTCATGGGATTCTCTTTCTCTCTGCCCTCACTCACATGCTCTCTCTCTCTCAAAAATAAATTAATTAATTAAAAAAAAAGAAGTCTATATTTGGTCTTCATGCCCATTTCTGGCACAGAGCTCCTAAATCCCTCGGAACTTCCTGATAAGAAAGTGTTCGTATTTAGGCTCTTTCCATGTTTTAGCTATTGTTGAGAGTGCTGCTATGAACATTGGGGTACATGTGCTCCTATGCATCAGCATTTCTCTATCCCTTGGGTAAATTGCTAGCAGTGCTATTGCTGGGTCATAGGGGAGTTCTACTGTTAGTTTCCTGAGGAACCTCCACACTGTTTTCCAGAGGGGCTGCACCAGCTTACATTCCCACCAACAGTGTAGGAGGGTGCCCGACGAATGGATCAAGAAGATGTGCTTTATCTATACCATGGAATACTACATGGCAATGAGAAACAATGAAATCTGGCCATGTGTAGCAACATGGATGGACCTTGAGGATGTTATGCTAAGCGAAATAAGTCAGGCAGAGAAGGACAAATATCATATGTTTGCACGTATAGGAGGATTAGGAGGAACTTAACTGAGGAACAAGGGGGAGAAGAAGGGGGGAAATGGTGGGTGAAAGGGAGAGAGGCAAACCATGAGAGACTCTTGAATGCTGACAAAAACTGAGGACTGATGGATGTGGGGGGGAGAGGGGGGATGGGCATGGAGGAGGGCACTTGTGGGGATGAGCACTGGGTGTTATGTGGAAACTAATTTGACAATAAACTATTTGTAAAAAAAAAAAAAAGAATATAAACATTTATTTCAAAAATAAATGTTAAACTTTAAAAAAAAAAAAGTGTTCATATTCGTAACAAACCCCTGTCAACCACTCGAGTTTACATTAATGAGGTGACTTTTGGAAAGGCCTTGAGGATTGGTTGCCAGGTAAAGCAGCCACGACACTGGAGGGTTGGAACTTTCAGCCCCACCCCCCTGGCCCCTGGGGTGAAGAGAGGAGCTGGAGACTGAATTGGTCGCCAAGGGCCAGTGCTACGTGATGAAACTCCACAACAACCCAAAAGAACAGGGCTCAGAGAGAGCTTCTGGGCTGGTAAACATGTGCAGGTGTGGGGTGAGCCTTGTACCAGAGATAGGAGGGAAGCTCCACACCCCTGCTCCCCATACCTTGCCCTGTGCATCTCTTCCATCTCGCTGTTCCTAAGTTGTATCCTTTCATAATAAACTGGTGATCTAGTCGTAAAATGTTTCTCCAAGTTCTGTGAGCCACTCTAGCAGTTTAATCGAACCCAGAGAGTGATGGGAAGCTCTCGTTTGTAACCAGTGGGTCAGAAACACCGGTGACAACCTGACCTTGTAACCGGCCTCTGAGGTGGAGGGCGGTCTTGAGGGACTGACCCTTACCCCGAAGGATCTGACGCTGACCCCGGCCAGACAGTGCCAGAACCGAGCTGAATTGTAGGTCACCCAGCTGAGGCCTGAGAACTGCACGGTGGTTTGGGAAAATCACCTTGCAGTTGGTGTCAGTCATACAAGCGCTGCCACGTGAAGGGCCACGGGCAGAGGCGGGCAGCAGGGCTGTTCCGGGATGGCCAGTAGGGCCCTGAAGGAGCAGGGGAGGGACAGAGACAAGGGCAGACACAGAATCCGAAGCAGGCTCCAGGCTCTGAGCTGCCAGCGCAGAGCCCGACACGGGGCTCGAACTCAGGAACGGCGAGACCGTGACCTGAGCCGAAGTCGGACGCTCAACCGACTGAGCCGCCCAGGTGCCTACTGGGGGTTTGCAGCAAAGGAGTGACTTGGCTGTTTCTTGCTCATAATTCCTCCGGCTGCTGAATGGAGTCAAGCACTGCATGGAAAAAGGAAGTGTGGAAACAGCCGGAAGCCACTACAGCCATCCAGGAGAGAGGTGGTGTCTGCCAGGGCCGGGCTTGAGCAACAGCGAGAGGCGAGCCACCCCGGGGACACCTTGTTCTCCGCACAGAGAGCTGCAGGATCCAATAGCTGCCTCCGCACTCCCGGAGACGGAGCCTCAAGGCCTAAGACTGAGCCCAGAGGGCAAATCTACTTCCTATATTTATTGTCAAGTGGTGCTGGGGTGCAGATAATTACCATGGTAACGGGTCAAGGAAAGCTACGACTTACCTTTAACCGGTAACTTCTATACAAAGGGGACTTTTCATTTAGGAGCTTCTGTGCAGAAACCCTGATGCAGTGATCTAATAAGAGAAAAACCGAGGTCCACATCACCAGCTCCCCACCTTGCCAGACCAGCAAAGCCCTGCCAGGGGACACCTCGAGTTGCTCTGTAACTCCTGCATGTCCCAACACTTTTCCATCCAAATGCTCATTCCAGCCGTCCTGTGTCCTGGTGAGTTCAGTGGGGTGAACTCGACACAGAGCACAGACATGGGCAGGTAAACACTGTGCTCAGAGCCCAGAGCTGGCCCCACATCTTGGGCCTCCTCCCTCTCCCCGCCTGCTGCAGTCTAAACAAGGTGATGCTCTCACTCTGTCATTTTTTGTTTTTAGTTTTTATATATTCATTTATGTTTTCAAGTTTATTTTATTTATTTTGAGAGAGAGAGAAAGGGAGCACAAGTGAGGGAGGGGCAGAGAGGGAGGAAGGGGGAGAATCCCAAGCAGGCTCTGTGCTGATAGCATGGAGCCTGACTGGGGGCTCGATCTCACAAACTGAACCATGAGATCATGACCTGAGCCGAAATCAAGAGTCGGACACTCAACTGACCGAGCCGCCTAGGTGGCCCCCAAGGTGATTCTCATTTAGGGACCTCCAAGTCTGCTGGAGTAGAGAACAAATTGAGACCCTTGGCCCTATTTATTCTGTAAAGGATCATTTGGAAGTTTACCAGCCTGCTTCAAACTACACGCCTCGCCTTGTCCAGCAAACACAAGTTCCAAGGAGGGCAACTGTGCCCAGAGCAATCACACTGTGCACAGCCTGGCCCTCGTGGCATCCAGGGGGGTCTCCTGGCCCCCGAAACCTTCCACAGCCAGCTGGTGGCCTGGGAGCCTCCAAGGAGAGCCCCGGGGTGCAGGAAGAAAGGCTTGGCACAGACAGACGGAGCCAGCGGTGACGGGGACAAGCCTGGGCCTCCCTCTAGAGCAGGGTTTAAGGAGGTGGGGCCGAAAGACTGGGACAGGCTGGGCTCAAGTCTGAGAGAAGCTCCCAGGGGCCTGGGGGCCTATGCCAAGCACTTTGTGCTGCAAAGTCACCAGCCCCACCTTGTAAGGGCAGGAAGAAGCCTGAAAAGGAAGTACCAAGGGGTAGAGTGTTGCGGAAGTGGGGCGGGCGCAGGAAGGAGGAAGCTTAGCCAGGGGCCTCACTAGAAACACGTCTGCCTCTCCGTCTGCCTCTCCCGTGTGCTGGGAGAGCCCCAGGGGGTCAGCCGAAGGATCCCCTGGTCCTTACTGTGTGCCTCACACTGTAGGCCCTCCTTCCACCTTGCAGAAAAGCCTCTAATTGAGCATGCTCATCCCTGTTTTAAAGGGAACTGAGGTACAGAGGGGTCAATGGTCAACACACCAGTGAGCCCACCTTCATGTTCACCCCCAGCCTTCAGGCAGCGTGTGGCATGGAAGGACTCCCATCCCACGCCCCAGCTTCATCCATACCCGCTCCAACCTCCCATCCAACACATAACTCAAAGACCACCACCACCTCCCACGCCCTTTCCCAGGCTGACACAACACAACTGCAGCCGGGCAAGGCAAGTGGGTTGGGGCCGAGCCGGGCAGGCTCCAGGGGCAGAGGCCGATGGGAAAGGATGCAGGAGGGTGGCGCCCCACTGCTGTATCCCGGGCAGGATCTATCTCCTAGCCAGCGGGGGGTTGGGATGGGTGGGGGGGGGGGGATGTCACCAAGGCCTGGGAGCCCTTGCAGAGTGTCCTGCTCAGGGACTCTGGAAGCCCCAGGGGCTGCTCTGGTGTCCTGAATGGAATGGGAGTCAGTGTCCCCATGGCTGGGCCCCTGGTGGCCCGGGCCTCCTCTAGATGGATATGAAGCAGCCTGGAGGCCTGACACCATGCACCGAAGCCTCGATCCTGGACAGGGTCCAGTTCAGACGCGTCCCCGACACTCAGGACCTAGTTCCCTGGGCAGAACAGCCCCAAACAGTGTCCTTCCGTGTTTAGCGAGTTTGGGATACAGCCCGGCTAGGGGTTAAGGTGCAGACTCTGAGGCAGACGGCCTGCTTCGGGACACTTACCCTGTGGGGCCTATGCAAGTGCTTCACCCCCTAAACTTCCATTCTTCCTCTCTTCCTGAGCTTAACAACAGCAGCTCCCTCCTAGCTGTGGGCAGGGGGCCATGTGCAGGAAGCACTCAGTGTGCAAGTGCACAGTAAATGTCACGGGGCTTATGCAGGTTTTGTCCACGCTGAGCCAGGTCTTCCCCCAGGCCCCACTGAGCCCACCTCCAGGGCAGCCCTCCTGCCTCACCCCTACCCACCAAAGGTGGCTCCCAGCCAAGGAGAGCAGAACCCTCCCCACAACCTTGGAGGAGGTTAGTGCCGTCATCCCAAGACCCAGAGGGTGTGATTCACTTGCACAAGGTCACACAGCTGGCAAGGTTGGTTTTTGCTGGGATGAGGCGGGTCCTGAGCCTCTCCTCCCTCCTCACCTGTGCAACCTCCCGTCATCAGAGAGACTGCCCCGCTTCTCCTCAGGCCCCTTCCCCCACGCTCCTGAGGTCACCTCATCACCTCACATCCCACGGGTCACTCTGAGCTGAGCTGAAGTCGCCAGAGGCTCCTGATCTCCCCACCGCCACCTTCCCCAGCGTCTTAGCTACCCCATTTGGAGGTCCTGGGGAGGATTCGGGGGTTGAACAGCCCGTGGGTCACATTGTCGGAGGTGAAGACGATGACATTGCCTTTGGTGTCCCCGTAGCAGAACACACCTCTGTGATAGTCAGACCTGAGGGAACGTGGAGACAGAAGGGGCTGGGCTGGGCATACCGACTGCAACCCTCCGCCCTCCCGGACCCCAACAGCCCCCTCCACCTCCTTCTCCACCAGGAGCGAGGCCAGTGCCCACACATTTTCCAGGCTTGCCCTTTCCAGCTGACAAACGTGGGCCCAGCTGCCCACACCCAGGTTATTGGCAAACCAGGTCCAAAAGAAATCAGTATTTTTTTTCATTTAAAGCTAAAATAGGGGCACCTGGGTGGCTCAGTTGGTCAAGTGTCCAACTTCGGGTCAGATCATGATCTCATGGTTCATGGGTTTAAGCCCCGCATCAGGCTCTGTGCTGACAGCTCAGAGCCTGGAGCCTGCTTCAGATTCTGTGTCTCCCTCTCTCTCTGCCCCTCCCCTGCTCGAGTTCTGTCTCTCTCTGTGCCAAAAGTAAATAAACTATAAAAATAAATAAAATTAAAATTAAAATAAAGTTAAAACAAATGAATCCCTGGTCCTCCAGCTGCTTGCTACCAACTCACCCCTACTGCTGGACCATGGCATTCCCAGAGCCCTCGGCCACAGTGGGACAAGCCTCTGCCAGGGTTCAGTGGCTGACTTGGTTGGGTAGTGGGAGGAAGAGGGGCAGGTGACTGAGTGACCCCCCCAAGGCAGGGCAGCTCGGCGAGGAGGACACAAGCGCACAGGGTGGGAATCGCTCCAGGGCTGTTTCCAGAGAGGCTTTCTGGGAGTCCCGCCCACACTGAGTGCCATGGTTGCTGCCCAGCCTGCATGCATCTCCTGAGACTCACCAGTAGTCCATGGCCAGGACACAGCTGTCCAGATCCATGAGGGTGAAGGCCTGGGCACAATTATGGTTGCTGATATCAAAGAACTCTGGGGAAGAGACGGAGGGGGAGGGCAGGCATGGAACCCAAGCCCGCACCCCAGGCCTCGGGGGCCTCCGGCGACAACGTGCAGCCTCTGCTTACCAGCCACAGTCCCCCCAGAGGGCGCTAACCCATGCCCACAGTTGGCTTGGTGACAGGTCCTCCAAGGACAGTCCGCCTGGGGTGGGGCATCAGGGACTCACCTATCTTCTGGTGAGTAGATGCAATCGCAATCAGGTTCATGTTGTGGAGACACACCATGTCGATGACCCACATCTGCTGGTTGTGGAGCTGCTGGATCTGGTTAAGCTGGCCAGAGGGAGAGCAGAGGAGGCTCGGGCTGGGGAGGCTTGCCTGGCAGGGCATGCCAGGGCATGGGACCCCGTGAACCTTCTCCCGCCACCCGAGGCCCTGGAGTGGGCCACAGAGCTGGTGTGGAGCCCAGCACTCCCACCAGCTACTGACAGGACCTTGGATAAGTTCCCTAACCTCTCTGAGTCTCAGTTTCCACATCTGTGAAATGGGCTTAAAGAACACCCATCCTCACAGCCCCTTTTGAGAGTCATTTAACAAGCTCATCAAAGTTGTAAATGTGCATGGCTTGTGATCCAGGGATCTACTTCCAAGACACATCTAGGGATGTGTTCGCACGTGCTCACAGAGAAGTGCGTGTGAAGGCAGGCCCTACCACACTGCTGTGATGCAACAGGCCAGAGACCGCTTGGAAAGGAGAGCAGATCTAAATCCACACCATAGGATGCCATCCAGACATTACAAACCAGGGGGCTGTCCCCATGCCAGGATCTATTATTAAGTGAAAGGCACAGTGGAAAGCAGCACTATAATGTGCTACCATGTGTATGTTTTAAAACAAAGGGGCGAGGAGGGTGTACGTGCAGGCTAACCACAGAAAAGTGCCCCAAAACTGGTCATAGCAATTGCCTCCAGGAGAGAATTCGGGTCTGGGAGAGGGAGACTGACTTTCCATTGATTGCCCCCCTGCATGTCTGACTCTTCCCCCCACCCCAGTTTTACTGAGCTATAATGAACATATGACATTGTATTAGTTTGTGTTCGTTTTGTCTGCATCTCGTTTACTGTCTGTGGGTGTCACCTGGTTCAAGTGACCTTAGTAACAAGAAATCACCCTGCCAGGCTGCGAGGTGCCAGCCTCACGTAAGACCCATGCAGACAGAATCTGAATGGGCATTCCAGGCGCAGGACCCTCCACACAAAGTCATGGCAGCAGAAATGGGCTCTGGTGTCCAGGGAAAAGAGGGGGCCGGCCCGACAGGCTCAGGGTCAGAGAGGATGAGGGAGGAGTTAGGGGTGGCCGGCTAAGGAATTTGTGTTTTGCTCCCTGAAATACACTCTGAACTGAAGAAAGCGCGGACAGGAGCACAGTCTGAAACAGAAGGGAGGGGGAAGGTTTAAGGTAGCAACCCCTGGAGAATGCGCAGAAGGGATGGCAAAGGCAGGGGCAGGAAGTGGACTATTCCATCAGGACTCAGAAACACAAGAGCAGGGAGGCCCCTGCCGGCAGCTGGGCACCTGGTCAGCGAGGACAGTGGGCCAGGCGCCTCTACTCCCCACACAACGGAAGGGATGGTACGCCCAGCACCTCCATGTTCCTTCGAGAAACCCAGAGCCCTGGGGGGTCTCAGTGACTTGCCCAAGCTGTAACAGCTGGGAAGTAAAGCCCAGGCACCGCCCCCACCCACACACACACCAAGCTCCAGGGCTTTCCATCTACATGACCACGGATGGTGTTTAGTGGATCGCTCTTGCCAACATCTACTTTCCCAAGCAGCCCCTCAGACAGGAATGCTGGGCCTCCTGGGGAGCCTCTCTCAGTGCTCCTCATCCCTCCCAGATTGGCCTCTGAGGGGCGCTGAGGTGACTGCGTAGCAGCTACACCCAGGAGCTCAGGCTATAATGTGGCCTCCCACACACACCAAAATAAACACACAGAAAGAAAAAGGGTGGAAGGTGCCAGAAACCCTAGCCTCAGGGACTCGGGTGTGAGTCCCCCCTTGGTCCTGAGCTACCAAGTACTCTCAAGAGAGTCATTGGGCCACCATGGACCTCAGGTGCCTGAGAGCCCTCCGGCCCCAGGGGGCAACCCCTGATGCGCCTATGAAACACTCTGCTGTCTCACGGGCAAAGCCCTCATGCTGCTGGCCGTGTGCTCAGTAAGCCTTCCTCATTTGCTGGCAGACTCTGGGCTGGGTCGGCAGCACTAAGGACACTAAGAGCTGGGAATTTCCTCACTCACCACGCTTGGCCAGGAGCTGACGGCACACAGACAGTGATGTCAGCTTGCGTGTGTCGGGTATGTGCTGTATGCCTTGTCCTACTCTGAGTACCGTATGTGGATTATGTCATCATACTCTCCCAACAGCCTGAGGGGGTTACTGTGACCCCACTTGACAGATGAGGAAACTGAGGCATGGAGGGCTATCTACAAAGTGTCCAAGGTCACAGAGCTGGAAGGTGGTGGTACAGTCAGGTTCTAAGTGGGGCTCCGGAGCCCCCACAACCACTGCAATTTCCTGCCTGGTCCAGGTAAAGGATCTGAATCAGCAACACTTGGGGACAGAGGGGACGTGACAGGGAAAGGAAAGGAAGCAGACTGCTAACACGGGAACCTTGGTGGACAGTGACACCATGCACTGGGATGGGGGGGCAGGGCTGGCAGCCACGGCTGCAGTGACGTCCTCTCTGGACAGCGGGGGTGTGAGGTGTCTGCTGGACACCCAAGGCAAATGGGCATCCAGGTGCGGTTCTGCTTCCAGAAGAGAAACGCAAGGGTCGCGGTCCCACAGCAAAGCCAGGACTTGGCCCCAGGAGCAGTGACTTGGCATGCAGGCTGCTTAGACTATGAACCCCAGCATGAGCCCACTCTGGACCCGGGTCACCTTCACTGCCAGGGTACAAAGGCAAAGGCTCTCTGACCAGCCCATGTGTGTTCCACGTGTGGGCCCCCCTCACCCTAAAGGAGCTAATCAGTGAGAAGGCCTCAGACCAGATCTGCAAGATCCCATCCTTGGTGACTGTCAGGAGGTGCCCAATCTTCTTGAACCGCTGGATTAAAATCTGCACCTTCACAATCTCACTTCCATGGTTCCTGTGGAAGGTGACAGGAGAGAGAAGGACCCAAACAAAAACAGAACAAGGAGCACAGAGGGGGAAGGACGAAGGAAACCCCACTCACACACACACACCCACACCCACGCACGCACGTGGACCCACACACACACACACACCACCGAGAACTCAAGCTGTCTCCTCCAGACGCAGGGCTCTGCTGGGCAGGCTTCTGTCATTACCAGCTGTGGCCCAAAGAAAAAGAGACCGCTGGTGAGAGACAGGGCTCCATAAGCAGTGGGCTTCTCCTATGAAACAGCCAGCCGGCTTCCTCGTGACGGGATGGGGTCAGAGAAGGCAGAGAACAGAGGTCTTTTGCAAACCTTCTTTTAGAAGAAAAAGTCTACAGGAGGTGAGGGGAGGGGGGATCGTGACTGAAACCTTTAAAATAACACAGTTTCCGGCAACTCAGGGTAGAGAAGGGGATACAAGCCAAGCGTGAGGTGGAAGTGGACGAGGGGACAAAGTATCAATAGAGCCCCACGCACCCAACTCCTCAACCCCAAGGCCCTGTGCTGAGCCCAGCAAACAGCTCCTACAGCAGGCCGGGACTTGCAGGAAGCCACCAAGCAGCCTTCCCAGCAAGCGGCAGTCATGCCTTCCAGTGCCTTCTGTCCTACCCCAAGATGGCTAAGCTGGCTATCTGACTAGGAAAGGGCACCGCCATTTTAACTTCTGGACATGGCACAGCACAAACTCCTGGTGTTCCCACACCTCCAGGCCCCGGAGGGGCAGGTAATGTCCCCTCACCTCACAGGGACCCAGGGATAAGCATTGCCCCAGAGTTATATCCTGGCTGTGGGTAGAGCTTCACCTAGAACATGGGAATCTTGGTCCCTACTCCAGCCACAGCCCTTTCCAAATGTTGCTGTGGACACCATGTGACCCGCGGCTGAGGGCTACCCCACACTGTGAAATTCTGCCTCGAAACACTGTCAGCAGGAGAGAGGAGGATGCTGTGTCTGCATACGGCTCCTCCCTCTCCCACCCGCAGCCCCCAGCTCTGCCCCGTCTGCCCTCTATCACTCCCACTGCCACCTGCCGCGTCAGGCCCACCAAGACTCTGAGGGGTAGATGCCATGAGAGATGAGGGGAGCCCTCGGGAGACCAGCACCTGGGAGATGGGTGCTTGGTGAGCTTGGCCCAGGCTCACGAAAGGGGAGCCGACTTTCAAGATGACTTTTTCGTGAAGATAATTAAAGATGATTTGGCTATTTTCTCTGTCCAGCTGGAAATGCTCTCTGGGTTTGTAGGTTGAGCAAATAAATAGGGGGAAACAGGGACAGGCTCCTTGATGTTTTTGGTTCTGGCCCTTTCAGCACCGTGGAATCAAAATGTCCCCAAGGAAATAGAAAGACCCGTGAAGGCTTGGCTACCTCAAGCAAAGTTTTAGGCCAAAACATATTGCTATAAAATCCTTCATCATTCATATTTACTGGCTATTCCTCAATTAAATCTTGACCAAAAAATTTTAGTTGCCCATTCATGGTTTTCATTACCATCCTTCTGAATCTCCAGCTGCTCCAGGGCAGAGACTGCCTCTGGTTCATGGTCTTCCCCGCAGCCTGCTCCGGGGGTGGTCCCCTGAGGACCACAGCCCCTCCTAACCAGGCTGCTGATGGAGGTCACCAAGCACTGGGCCAGAGGACCCAGATCCCTAGCCATGGCCACCTACACGAGGCAGGAGGTGTGCAAACCCAAGGTGGGCTCCGGGAAAAGACCTGGGCCATTGGCCAGAGCCACTGGAGGGCACCTCATTCTTGGGGAGTTCAGGCGGGAGGGGGCAGACAGGGCCATGGCACAGAAGGAAGATGAGGTGAAGGTCCAGAGGGCATGGGGTACAGGAGCTACGAGGAGGAGCAAACAGGCAGGGTCGAGGCAGTCAAGCTGTGGCCAGAGCCACATGCTCCAGGAGTGACCAACGCCCGTTCTGGAGGCCCAGTGTGGCCTCCAGGAGCAGTCTCCTGTGATGGCGTTTACGCCCTGCCCTGTGAGCCATTTGTGCCCTGACCCACTGGCAGCAGGGGTGGGAGGAAGCAGAAGGAGCTATGCTGCAAGGAGGGGGGTGGGGGGGGTGGGGGTCGGACACAGCAACCCCACTGCTGTCCTCTGACCTCTCGGAACCTTTGTTTCCTTGTCTGTAAAGTGGGGACACATCATCTACCTTCGTGCTCAGGCTGCCTGCAGGGTTGGGGGGCCAAAATGAGCCCAGTGCCAGACCCTTGGTGGCCCCACAGAGAGTGGCTCAGGGACTAGGGAGGGGCGGTCCCAGCAGAGCCGGCCCCCGCCCTGTTCACACACACCCCTTCAGTCCCAGGAGAGCCTCCTTACAGGGGGATGATCCTCATGGGGAGGCGAAAGTGCAGGCGGTACTGGCTCGTCCTCATCAGCTCCTTCCTCTGGAACTCACTCATCATGTAATCCATGTACTTCTGCTGCCTCAGGAAGAAATGCCAGGCAGGATGGCACTGGCCAAGCGGTCAGCGCACCGGGCTTCAGGAACCCACTCCCGGCTTCCAGCTTCTCCCCTATCTTTACCAACCCCTTCCAAGGGGCTCCGGTCGCTGCTTCCTGAGGGTGGCCAAGGGAAGTAGCCAAGCCAACTAAGCTATTCCGGAATCTGGGATGTGTGAAGGGCCTACCAGTAAGTACACAGCAGCACCTCCCTCCTTAATTTGATCCTTAATGCTAAATACATCTCCGCATCACCCCCATACCCCGCACTTTGTTTGACTCTCTTTATTCATCCCCAGTTTATGGATAATAAGACTGAGGCTCGTAACAGTAGAGATGAGTTGCCTCAACTCATATAAGAAGTTAACAGCAGCAGAAGTGGCCAGGGCAATAGGGCAATTCTAGAATCTATTAACCAGCCTCACAAAGGCCAAAATCAGACATCTATTTGAAACTACACAAGAAAGAGGGAGTTATTAAGAAAGATCATTGTGTAGATAGCAGAGAATTCTGAAAACACATTTATTGTACAATATTAAGAGAAATGGAAAAAAAAAAAAAAGAAGAAACAAAAACCAACCAACCAACCAACCAGAATGTGTACCTAAGCCGATGGGGAGGAAGGACAGAGTAGTTAACACATGACTTCTTTAAATAAACTCCTCAGGGCTGGAGACTAGCTCAGCTGCTAACCAGCTCTATAACCTTGGACAAGTTTCTTAACTACTTCATACCTCAGTTTCTCAATCTGTCAAATTAAGGTACATAACAACACCTATCTCATAGGATTCCCATGAAGTCAAATAATACACTGTAAAACCTTGGTTTGCGAGCATAATCTGTTTTGGACACATGCTTGTAATCCAAAGCACTTGTGTATCAAAGCAAATTTTCCCATAAGAAATAATGGAAACTCAGATGATTCATTATACAACCCAAAAATATTCATATAAAAATGATCACAATACTATAATATACAGAATAATAATGAAAATACAAAATATGAAGAAAAATAAGCAAATTAACCTGTATATACCTTTGAAACCTTTGCGGCTGGTGTGAGGGAGACGAGAGAAAGGGGGGTTATTGAGTAGGACAACTTTCACGATTACTAATGGATGGTGACTGCAGTACAGTGTTAATAAATTTTTAAAAAATTTTTTAAATGTTTTTATTTATTTCTGAGAGAAAGAGAGACAGCATGGGCAGGGGAGGATCAGAGAGAGAGGGAGACATAGAATCTGAAACAGGCTCCAGGCTCTGAGCTAGCTGTCAGCGCAGAGCCTGATGCAGAGCTCGAACCCACGAACCATGAGATCATGACCTGAGCTGAAGTCGGATGTTCAACCGACTGAGCCACCCAGGCACCCCAATAAATTGTATCCTATATTGTAATTAATGTAACTGGCAATAAGGCAGCAGAGGAAAGGGTCTCTATCTGCAGGCAGCCTGACCTAGAATGAAGCAAACATTCCTAAGCTTACTCTTGTGTGGAAAAGCAAAGGACTGTCCACAGGTGCTTTGAAGTGACAAAAAACACTCTAGCGCCTGTAGTGGGCACCTTCCAACATTCCGAAAAATTAACGATTTCTACCAAACACCATGGCCTGAGACCAAGCATCTGAGCATAGGAGATGATCACCCACAATCCCACAGTGAGTGAGCAAGAGAGAACCACTGGCTCAGTTGTGATCATGTGACATTCAGTGTCACGTAGTACTCGTATTGCAAGACATCACTCATTTATCAAGTTCAAATGTATTAGAAATGTTTGCTTGTCTTGTGGAACACTTGCAGAACAAGTTACTCGCAATCCAAGGTTTTACTATACAAAGACCTGACTTAGCACAGTGCCTCGTATAAAGGCTAGTTATCACTGTCGGCTTTGCTGGGTTAATATGTCAGACAATTTTTTTGTGCTTTTCTGTATCCTTCTGTATTCTCTATTCTTTTTTTTTTTTTTTTTTTTTTTTTTTTTAATGTTTTATTTATTTCTAGGAGAGAGAGAGAGCGTGAGCAGGGGAGGGTCAGAGAGAGAGGGAGTCACAGACTGAAACAGGCTCCAGGCTCTGAGCTGGCAGTCAGCACAGAGCCCGACGCGGGGCTCGAACCCACGAACCGCGAGATCATGACCCAAGCGAAAGTCGGACGCTTAACCGACTAAGCCACCCAGGCGCCCCTTCTCTATTCTTTTTTAAAATTTTTTTATGTTTGTTTATTTTTGAGAGGGAAAAAGAACACATGTGGGAAGGAGCAGAGAGAGAGGGAGAAAGAGTATCTGAAGAAGGCTCCAGGTTCCGAGCTGTTAGCACAGAGCCTGATGTGGGGCTTGAACCCACAAACTGTGAGATCATGACCTGAGCCGAGTCGGACTCTTAACCGACTGAACCATGCAGGCACCCCTGTATTCTGTATTCTTAAATGCTACGTCTGCTCTTCATAGAACATGTAGGATCTCTAAAAAAAAAAAAAAAAAAAAAAAAATTTGCTAAAACTCTGACATTTTTGTATTGAACATCCACAGGTTTGCCTGTTGGCCTGGTGACCATAAAGGGCAGGGCCACAGGATGGCCGCGGCACCTGCTGGAGCCGAGCGGGAGGCCGGTGTGCAGGAAGGCCACCTGACAGGCGGGCAGTGCCCTTGTTGCCCACCGCTGTGCGCTGGGGTGTCTCAAGCGAAGGTCGTGGACATGGAGCTGCAATGAGCCCCCCTACAGAAGTCTCAGGAGGCTTCCCTCTAGCAAGCAGCCCAGAATCCACAGGAGGCTGATGCCTTGACCACCTCCCCACTTTCCACCCTCCCCGTGTTCTACGATGGGCCACACCTGGACCCTCCCGCCTCCCTGCAGCTGCCCGAGGCAGCAGGGCCCTGTCCTCACCCAGGTGATGGAGCCATTACAGTCTGTGTCCACCTTCAGAAACAGCATCTCGAGCATCTCATCTGACACATTGCTCAGAATCTTCTTCACGGCCTTAATGAAAGCCTGCATGTCCAGGGCTTCAAGAGAGAGGAAAGAGTATCACCCGCCGCACAGCTAGTCTCAGGGCCCATCAGTGGCTATGGTGTTCTCGGGTGTCCCGGCACTGAGGGAGGCCACACAGAAAACCCTGTTTGCAGGCTTGTCTCCTGCATGCCACCTGCTCAGCATTCGCTCAGCGCACAGATACCGGCCACACACCTTCCAGGCCAGGGCACTGTGTTGACCCCACAGCACCGCTGGGTGAGAAAAGATCTGATCCCATTCCTGAATGAGGAAGGCAGGCATTGAGACAAAGGAAAGAGATGAAAACTCAGAACAAAAGAAAAATGAATAATGGCAACAAAGAGACAGAAATTAATTCAGATACACAGAGGGAGAGGTGAAGTCTTTCAAAGGCAGTTAAAATACAAACTTTGGCTGGAGGGCAAGATGGGGAGGGGAGGGCAGCAGAGGGGAGGGATGAGATATTCTCCCCATGCTGGATTTTGTGACTATAAGGGAATCTGTCTGCCTGTGGGCCAATATCACTGCCTAGATTTTATCTTTTTATAATCACAGTCTAAAAAAAAGTGCTTCTACAGTCCCCAACAGTATCTAGAATCCTCACCACAGTGTGAAGGCCGTGCGTTTTCTGTCTCCTCTCAGACCTCACCTCCCACTGCCATTTCCTACATTCTTGACTCGAACCATAATGTCCCCACGCCACTTCTCACACGACCGAGGGTACTCCCACCTCAAGGCCTTTACACCCTCCGGTCCCCTCTGCAGGGAAGGCTTCCAGGGGAATATCTAGGGAGGCCCCCGCCCACGACCTTCTTATTACCACCCTCGCCCATGGTTTCTGCGAGGGCAGGGGGAGCCTGTGCCCTCCATGACTGGGTCCATGGCACACAGCAGACGCTTGTCCCCAAGTGTTACTGTGGACACTGGGATGTGGACGCGATGACACTGGGTGCTTCTGTATGTATTCAAACTGATCGTGTAATGAGAGGCACTCGTGAGGAAGCTGTGACGCACGGCGGTGAGCTCCTATGCCCAAGGTCACAGGGTGGCACCTGAGGCTGACCCCGGCAATCTGGTCCTTCTGGGTATGGGTTGGGCGTCCATCAGATGGCAGTCCGTGACACAGAACCTTCCATTTGGGAGGGAGCCAGGGGGCCAAAGAGCCTCTATGCAGCTTTGAATGAACAAATTCCCCTTGAGAGCACCACAGGGACCAGCCCCTCCCTCAGGTGTCTAAGAAGCCATATATATCGTTCCCACCATGTTATTTTAATACACTTCTTATAAACAGTTTATCAGCTATTTTTCTGAGAATAGCAATAGACATAAAGGTATTTTGGAAAGGAAACATACACTGTGGGGGTCCAGGCAGGGCCCCTGTTCCCCCCTAAAAAGCAGCTCTCACCCACCTCAAACCAAGGTGGTTTTCGATTAACCAAGGTTAATCGATAAAAACTTGCAGGTGAAAATATGACTTCCCTGGGGAGGGGGCCACCACTAGAATCAGTCAAGACACTCTGTGGGGGCAGGAAATGTTCTATGGCTTGATCTAGGTGGTACTTACGTGAATGTGTGCACGGGAAGGAGTCCCTGGGCTGGACCCTAAAGACCCATGCATTTTGTGGCAGGAGAATTACGCCTCAGTGTAAAGATGCATGTATTTAACTTCTGAACTGCACTCAGTGTGAACTCTCTAGCCACCTTTCCCTGTGCCTCTAAGCTTAGCCACCCATCCAGCTCAGAAGATGGGGCGGGGAGGGGGTGTTCTGACGGCCAACTCTCCCGTCTCAGTGGTCCTGGGCCCTTTCCTCAGGGGAGGGTCCACCCTCATTCCCGCCCTTCCATCTTCCACCTGCACCCCACTGGCAAGTTCCCTCCAGCGCCCAGCACACCCCGACTTGTACCCGCTCACTGTCCTGAACCACCAGGGACCTTGGACCACCCCTGATGGCACCCTTCCTTGCCGTTGGGGCCTCCTGCCTTCAAGCAGAGACCGCACTGGTCACTCTCGTCTCCCCCAGGCTCCGTGGCCTGCCCTGCCCTGTCATTTGGCATCTGCCTCCACTTCTTGCCACTGTCCCCTTGCTTCTCTGACACTCTCTAGTGACTTCACCTATTCACCCATCTCTGCATCTCAGGAGACAATGTCTCTCCCATGTCTCTGACTCTGCTCCCAAGTGTCCCCCTGGCCCCTTCAACTCAGCATGTTTAAAATCCCGTTTATTATCTTCATCCCAACACGTGCTGGCCTTTCCTGTGTTTGCCATCTCAGCTAATGGTGTCACCTCCAGCTAGTCACCCGGGCTGCAGACTTGAGGGCAGCACCCAGTGTCCTCCCTCCTGCATCCTCACAAGGATCCTCTGGTTCTTGAGGGTAGGTACTGGCATTCTCCCCATCTCGCAGGTGAGGACACAGAGGCACAGAGACATTCTGGGCTTACTCAAGAACACATAATGGCGCTGGGAGGATGTGAGGCCAGAAGACTTCCCTCCCCTCCATCGGAATGTCCACTACCCTCCACAGGGCAGCCGTGCGAGCAGCCAGTCCCCTGCCTCCCACGCCCGTCCGTCCCGCTGGCCGAGACACCTCTCCTTCTCCAGCAGCTCCAGGTGTGTTAGGTCCCCACCAGCCCAGGGCTGGGGCTCGGGGCCCCTCCTGTGCATCCTCTGTGGCCGCTGCCCTCCCAGCCTTGCCTCCCGACACCCCTCACTGCCCCAGCACAGTGACACCCCTGCACCTCTCCTCAGCCATTCCCTGCCGAGATCTGTCCTCCCCATCTCCTGGGAAACTCCCACTTGCCCTTTCTTTCTTTGTAATGCCAAGAGGTAGGATTATGGACTGTTTACCTCTATTCTTCTAGACACTTACAAGCATTTTTAAAAACAACTGCTATATTTAAAATATTTAAGAAGACAGTGTTTCCTAGCCTCCCCTCTGCTGTGCAGGAGGGAGGATGCCTGTGCTCCCACAGGGCTTGCATTCCTGGAAGGCGGTCACCAAGCTGGAGCACTGCATGGTCATAACCCCTGGCTCTCCTGGGAAGAGGACTTCCTTCAATTTGGTGTCTGAAGTGCTACATGCAGTGTGGGCTGCCTACGGAAGCAGTTTCCATGTCAGGGCGCCCAGGCCCCTGCATTTGGGCCTGTCATCTGTATCTGCCCCTCCTGTATAAAGTCACAGGGAAAGCCACGGGGCTTCGTGACAACTGAATCAAATCCCACAGAGGGCTTGGTAATCTAGGAAGCTCTGTGCCAACACTAATTCTTTTTAAAAAGTATTCCTTTAGGGGCACCTTAGTAGCTCAGGTCATGACCTCATGGTTCAGGAGTTCGAGCCTCGTGTTCGGCTCGCTGCTGTCAGTGTGGAGCCCACTTTGAATCCTCTGTCTCCTTCTCTCTCTCTGCCCCTGTCCCACTCAAGTGCACCCGTGCATGCACTCTCTTTCTCTCTCTCAAAAATAAACATCTTTTAATTTAAAAAAAATTGTTTTTAATTTATATTTTAAAGTAATCTCTACACCAAACATGAGGCTTGAACTCACAACCCGAGATCAAGAGTCACACACTCTACTGACTGAGCTGGCCAGGTGCCCCTTGACACTAATTCTCACTGTGCCTGGCAGTGCTTGATGAAATGTTCCGTTGGCGAAAGTGGAGTGTGCCATCCGTGTCCCTCAGGAGCACCTGTATGGAAGGTCAGTGCCCCACTGGCTCACAGGCTTGGGGTTGCAGGGTCCCCAGCTCAGTGGCTCACCCTCGACCCCCACCCCCAGCAGCCCACAGGCTCCCCCAGGCAGGCCCCAGAGGCGAGGGCCACGGGCACATGAACACTTTGAAGACGTCCTGGGAGATGCCTGGGCACTCCCTTAAGAACCATAGAGCTTCAGGGTGCCTGGCTGGCTCAGCCATGGAGCATGCAATTCTTGATCTCAGGGTTGTGAGTTCAAACCCCACACTGGGTATGGAGATTACTTAAAAATAAAATCTTAAAAAAAAAAAAAAAAAAAAAAGAACCACAGACCCTTCTCAAAGACTTCCAATCAACAAATAAAAAAAAACTAAGGCTCCAAAAGGGAACTTGCAGAACAGAGAGGAGAACCCCGGTACCTCCCCTTTTCCCTCTGAGGCAGTCACTTATGCTCAGGGTTCCTAAGAAAGGTTTTGGAGCCCTTGTTTATAATCCACCTCTTTCAAAGACTCAATTTTGAAAGAGAAAAATGATCTTATTTTCTTTTACCCTGTATCAACGAAAGGTGAATTTCCTTTCCTCCATTTAAAACGTGGCCAGGTTGTTGTTTTTATGAGGAAGTACTTTTTATACTGATATGACAAGATTTCAAGACATACTACGTAAAAAGCAACAGGGGAAACATGATAAAAATTATTTTTTTAAAGAGCAGGAGTGGACAATTGTGGAGATCCTTTCTCAATCCATACGGATATCGAATCGGCATGGCGGGCACTTCAAATGTATTACAAAGTTACGTCAATTATAGCCCAATAAAGCTAAAATAAAAAAAGCAAGGTGTAGAACGGCATGGACGGGAGGCTGCCACTGCATTAGAAAGCGGGGCAGGGACTACCCACCTTCTGTGCCTCTCCCAGTCGCAGGAAACTGAGAGCAGTAACCAACTGAGGGAACAGAACTGGGCAGCTGAGGGCCGGGCCCAGGGGGACATTTTCACTTAGACCAAAACAGTATCATGGGAAAAGCACTTTTTGACTTGTGAACCGCATGAATCTATTGCCTCCTTCAAACAAAACACAGTAAAAATCGCAGACACATTTGGTGCACTTGGGGTCCTCAAAGACACGGTGGTGGCAACTCCCAGCTGCCAAACACCGACCTCTAACAGCTCCAGTCAGAAACCACCTCATTGTTGGGTCAGACACGCAGCACTCCTCCCTGCCCCTCACTTCTGTCCATTTGTCCACGGGGCATGTGTTATCCTTCCCCGCCCACATCACGGCATGGCTGTAAAACTCAACTCGATGGGGCAAGGAGCTATGTCCCCAGAGTTGATACTCAGAGCCCAGTGGATATAAACAAAGATGCTTTAAGTAGTCCTATTATTTACCTTGATGTGTCTCAGCCCCAGGAGAAAAATTAAGCTTGAGAGAGAGAAAAAGTGTGATGCACAAAGGATGTTGTTAACAGTGTTATTTAAACTCAATGGAACCTAAATGTCCAGCTATAGGGGAATGGCTTAGTCCACCAGCAGAACACTTGCGTCCATTCGTAATGGTGGTTTGGAAGACTACACAGCAGTATGTAAAAGCCCTTCATGTATTGCACATTAAGAAAAAGGTGGGTCTGAAGTTACATATAGTACAATTATAGACACGTGAAAACACACATAATCATCTGTGGCATCTTAAGATACTTAAGGTGGCCCCAGGATGCCCACCTCCCGGTGTTCATTCCCTCCCATGATCCTCTCCTCTCGAGTAAGGCAGAAGGCATGACTTGCTTCTAACCAACAGAATACGGCAGAGGTGACAGGGGTATGGGGTACACGTTCATAACTGCATACTTACAAGACTGTGGTACACATCTTGCTGGATTTGCGAGCTCCCTGGTTACCCTGAGCCTTGAAACCCGCCATGTCAGTGAGTCCCACATGGCCAGGAATAAAGGGGCAGATGTAGGAGTTGAGAGCAATTGTTGGCCAATAGCCAGGAAGCAACCGAGGCCCTCAGTTCTGCAGTTGCAAAGGACTGAATCCTGCTAACAACCTGAGTGAACTTGGAAGTGGACCCTTTCCCCTTCAAGCCCCAGATGATACCACAGCCCCAGCCTAGTGAGCAGAGGAGCCAGCTAAGCCATGTCCAGACTCCTGACCCACCGAAACTGAGAGACAATAAACCCCTGGGTTAAGCCTCAAAGTTTGTGGGAATACTGTTACACAGAAATAAATAATAAACCATACTTGTGAAACTGTTTGGAAGAAAATACACCAAAATGCTGACAGTTCGTTACATCTGGGTGGTTGGATTAGGGGTATTTTTTTTCTAGATATGAAATAGCCTCCAATATGCTTATAATATTTATATAATGACCAAGTTTTAAAGGAGACACTGAAGGCAAAACCCGCTTGTCAAATCTGAACCCTTCACACACCCAGGTATGGGTCCCGCCCTGTGCAAAAACCAAAGACAGAACCTACAAGGCGGCTTTACCTCCGGTTGGGTCAACATTATCCTCAAACATTTTCTCCATCTTGGCCATGGGTAGCTGGGCAAACAGTTGAGACTCATGTTGGCTAAGGGTGACGGATGGTGCTGGCGAGCTAAGAACCTCCTCGCTCTTCTGGAATCCACCTCGGGTGGGTGCCTGGAACAAACATGACTACAGGAACCAGGGACTGAGAAGATTCATTTCCTGAGCTGAACATTTCTAAGCACATCACATTGAACAGACACTCTGGGGATGGACAGGGTATGCAGGGTGATAGTGAGGTCATCAAATAAATCTTAACCACTCCAGACCTAAGAAGACCAAGACAGATCTAGATGGCCTCTCCTGACTTTGGGGGGCTCCCATTTTGAAGTCTCATGACTGAGGCTCAGTGAGGTTAGCCAGCACAGCCAAGGTCTCTTACCTCCCACATACCGGGACTCCAATTTATAACACTTCTGTTCAGTAACTATGCTGTTTCGATCTTCAGTGCTTAGAATTCAAGACCCCAAGGAATCCAGCTCTCTCTTCCCCAGCCAATTTGATTTGGTCCTGAGCGCCCCAGACACCTGCCTGGGTCAAGGTCAGATCAGATCTGTCTGCACACAGAGCTCCCGCAGACACCCCTGACAGGGAAGTTTGGCTTCCTCCTCCCACTTCCCCAAGTCTCCCACATAGCCAATCCCACCCCTTCAGTCCTCAACAATGAATGCTTCCCCTCTGCGGGACTCATTTGGACACTTAGCACAATGTTTCAGGTCACAAAAGGCTCAGGTCATCAAAGATTCCAAGAGTGGACCATTAACCATTGAGTGTTTATTGTTCACTGAAATGTACTGCTTTGGGTCTTGGGCACTCAAGAAGACTGGTTCAAAAAAGCCAAAAGACGAGGTGTAAGTTAAATGGCGCACTCTCCCTACACCAACCCCACCAAACGAGCAAATGTGCTCATCCTCCTGTGAAATGTCATTCATTCCCTCAGGGTCTACACACATTTGCTGAGTGCCGGCCACTGTGGATACACGAGTGAACAGAGTGAAGACTTGCTTTCGTGGAGCCCAAGAGATGAGCTCGTTAATACTCCCACAGCCACGCAGGCCCTGTGTTAGACATCTCAGCATTATCTCTGGCTTGTCCCTTCTCCTACACATTCTTACCATCCCTCCTGTTGATTCTTACTGTGATCTTTTTCCTACACCTAAGCCCTCCTCCTCTACATCTCCAGCTTACCCCAGACACTGGCCTTGTGCTGGGACAAGTAGAAGGATGTCCCCTAACTGGGACAAGAGTTTGGCCTTCCTTTCCAATCCACCTGCCAACATTGGCATCAATCATCTTTCTGGAAGGCAGATCTGATTATGACTTTACTCCTGGCTCTGATACTTTCCAGGCTACTCCACCAACAGCCCCTCCTGAGTGTGCCACTCAAAGCCCTTGGCATTGTGGCCCTGACCTCTCTAGTTTTGATGCACACACCATTGACCTAGGCACACCAACTCCTCCCCACCATCCCCAAACACAACAACCCACTTTTACTCACATATTCCCTCTATGCAATGCAGACCATCTCTCCTGGATATGAACTCCCACTCATTCTTCAAAGCCTGGCTCAAATGACACCTCTTCCAAGGAGCTTTTCCCTAACTTTCAGGTGACATTCATCATTGCCACCTCCATGCTCCCAAACTGTTCCTATCTGTCATGCGTGCATGATGCTTTGCATGTCTCTCTGTACATGCAGACAGCAAGGTGTGACAGGAAACACATGGCTGTAGCGGCCCAGAGCTCTGGGTTCAAATTCTGCCTGACTCTCTACTTCCCAGCTAATTTATCTGAGACAGATCACATCACTTCTCTGAGCCACAAGCTTCTCATCTGCAAAACTGAGATCTGCAGTGCCCTCCATGCAGGGCTGTGGTGAGGCCGAAACGGCCCCCGGACGTGTTGGAAGGCTCAGCAAACTGTAGTTACACGAGAAATGACAGCTTCTGTTACTACTCCTGTCTTAGAGTGAGCTCTTTGAAGGTAAGGGCCTAGTTATCTTAATTTAATCTTCATTTAATTTGTACTAATTATCTCTCTATTCCCCAGCCCCAAGCATACAATAGATGCTAAATACTTATCTGGCTTGATAGTAATTTGTACAGCGTACCCCGCCGTTGCCACAACTTGACTGGACAAAAGGAAGGATAGTCCATATGGAGACTGAATCGGTAGCCTCAGATCTGTTGCATTTGGCCAATACAGTCCTTTCAAAAGGGAAGAGAAGCCTGGAACAGTGCCCAGATAAGTACCTACATGGCCTCGTGAATATCGGAGTTTGCTACCCTGGTAGAGACCTTTCTTACCTTTTGAGACTGAGAGTTTTCTCTTAAGTCCTCGGAAGACACTGGCTTTGACCTAGAATAAGGAATCATGGTCACTTTAACCTTGTAAGACCATGTGGGAGGCTGACCTAGCCAGGTCACAGGAAGGTGGAAAAGAATTTAGGGCCGGGATCGGGGTAGGGGTGGGGTGCTGCCCTATACCCAGGGACACCCCAGCACACATCTGAAGAGCGTCCCTTTCCCCACGGAGCTTCTCCAGCAGGAAGCTGTTTCCCTGTGAGCCTTTTTCCCCTGATGGGAGGAGTTGTCATATTGAAGCCCTGGGGCTTCCCAAGTGAATGCCAGAGGCTTCCCAAAGCAGGCCACACCTTCCAGAGTGGGAATGGGCTTAAGAGGCCATGCAGTGAGACCATGTGGACTACAATTCATGTATCATGAGAATAAGCTGCAGGATGGGCATTTGTCCAAAGGGTCAAATTCTTGCCCCACTTGCCACCACATATACCCCCTGCCCTCATCTGCCCTCCAGTGCACCTAGAGACAAGACTTCTTTGGGAGAATGGACAGAGCCCTCCTCACTGCAACACAGGATCCCATGACAGCGTGGGAGCAGTCTAGTCCACAGAGTTCTGCTCTGAGAATATGAAGGGCATATTTCTACTGGGTCAGTGGCTCCTCCGTGTAAGATGGAAGAGAGCACTTTGTTAGGATTATTAGAGCGTCAGTCTGCCCCACCAGCTAGAATCGGAAAAGCACTTAAAGATGGTGGGGGGAATGAATGGCCAGGAAAGAGTCAAGCCCCAGACATGCTCAGGAGACAGAGCTCAAGAGCCAGCCTGGCTTGACAAAGGGCTGTGGGGGCTGAGGGGAAAGGAAGAGTACTAGGAGAGAAGAGAGAAAAGAAAAATGGAAGCAGAATGTAGAATCTCCAGTATTTTGCCAGGGAGTCTGAGCAGAATGAAGGGCAATTACGGAAATTCATCAGCATAAGTGGAGGGAAGATTGAAGACTGGCCAACAGTGTTCCAACCTAAACTGGGTTGACGACAGCTCACATTTAAAAACCAAAGGCGAGATAACAGCCAAAGGAAAGGAGATTTGAAAGCCAAGAAACAGGGTAACTGAGGCAAATGCCAGGAACATTTCCAGGAAAGGAAGCAAGTAGGGAAAATGGCTTCATGCATATGACGTTGGGCTGTCCACTTAGAAATGAAAAACAACCTGGAAATATGAGGCCTGAAACTGAGAATTGGCTACATTTAAGGGATAGAAAGAGGAGGGGAAACACACAAAAGACAGGAGGAAGGGATGCCACAGACTGGACCAAGATGGTAGAAAAAGACAAAGCCTCTGAACATGGCCATTAAAGGTCACCAAGGACAAAAGCTGCAGAAGTGCATTTATAAGTCTACTCTGTCAAGAATATTAGGGGGGGCGCCTGGGTGGCTTAGTCGGTTAAGTGTCCGACTTTCGCTTAGGTCATGATCTCGCGGTTCGTGGGTTCAAGCCCCGCATCGGGCTCTGTGCTGTCTGCCAGCTCAGAGCTTGGAGCCTGTTTCAGAGTCTGTGACTCCCTCTCTCTCTGACCCTCCCCTGCTCACGCTGTCTCTCTCTCTCTCCTAGAAATAAATAAAACATTAAAATAAATTAAAAAAAAAAAAAAGAATATTAGGTACATATGTGTTGGCACATGCGTAGAAAGAGCCTGCAAAAATATACTCCAAATTTAATGGTGGTCATCTCTGGCAGGTAGGTTGTGGACAATTTCTATAGTCTAAAATGCATTTCACATTTAAAAAAACTTTTTTAAAATGTTTATTTTTGAGACAGAGCATGGTCAGGAGAGGAGCAGAGAGAGAAGGGAACGCAGAATCTGAAACAGGCTCCAGACTCCGAGCTGTCAGCACAGAGCTTGATGTGGGGCTCGAACCCACGAACCATGAGATCATGACCTGAGCCGAAGTCGGGTGTTTAACTGACTGAGCCACCCAGGTGCCCCGCATTTCTCTATTTTTAATTCAAAAAAATTTTCACAGCAATCTTTAGGACTTATTTCACTGGAAGTGGATCAAGTGGTGGGTAGTGATTTACATCACTCACCTGTGAAAGACAGCATCTTTGGTAGTAACAAAAAATACGGTGAATGGCTATGGAAGAGGAATGGCTGAGTAAATCAATACACCTGCACTCAGATCATCCCCGAAAAACTCTAAAGGATGAATCTGGCCTTCAGCAAACAACTAGCAGGGATTTCCATGAGTTACTAATAAGTAAGATGCAAAAAAAAAAAAAAAAAAAACCAACACATAATATAACGCCAATTTTTATAAATGATAAATAGGTATGTATTTACACACATAAGAACATGTGTCTCTGTACATACACACATTTATAAACAACTACCCTTAACAATTATGGGACCAAGGACAAGAGAACAAAAAGAAGTCCACATAGCAAGTCGTTTTAAGTACTTATAAATCAAGTTACTATAATATTAAATAAAACACATTCTATTCCCCTACCTTGACCAATACTTTCATAGCAACCTGGAAAAACAGGTTCAAATTTAGAATTATTCCTCTAGAAACTAAAATAGAACTACCTTAAAATCCAGCAATTGCACTATTCGGTATTTACCCAAAGGATACGAAAATATAGATTCGAAGAGGTACAAGCACCCTAACGTTTACAGCAGCATTATCGACCATAGCCAAACTATGGAGAGCGCCCAAATGTCCATCCACTGATGAATGGATAAAGATGTGGTGTGTGTACATATATTTATATACATACACATGCACACACATACATACAATGGAATATTACTCAGCCATCAAAAAGAATGAAATCTTGCCATTTGCAATGACATGGATAGAGCTAGAATGTATTATGCTAAGCAGAATAAGTCAATCAGAGAAAGACACATACTATATGATATCATTCATATCTGAAATTAAGAAAACAACACAGATGGACATATGGGAAGAGGGGGGAGAAGAGAGGGAAACAAACCACAAGAGGCCCTTATTGATAGAGAACAAACTATGGGTTGGTGGAAGGAGGCAGGGAGGTGGGAGATGAGCTAGATGGATGATGGGTACTTAAGGTGGGTACTTGTGATGAGCACTGGGTATTGTATGCAAGTAATGAATCGCTGAATTCTACTCCTGAAACCAATACTGCACTGTCTGTTAACATTTAAATTTTTTTAAAAAATTAGAATTCTGAACTCCTCTAAGTGCCAGAATTTGACAGTGGGGAGAAAGCCATCCTCCAAGACCTCTGTGCAACTATCATGCCCAACCCATCCTGGACAAAGGGCTTATGGCTGAGGGCATGTGGACGGCCACCTCACCGCCACTGCCCCACGGCTCCCTCAAACCTACGGGGCTGTCCTCAGAGGTGATGCGCTGGAGAACAGGCCCACAAGGAATCAGATTCAGAGCACTTTGGGCAGGGATTCCAGCATTGAGAGCTGGGGGGCTGGAGGGCAGGGGGTTCTAAGGCCCATTAGTAGGTCCTTAATGTTGTTTCCTGCTTTTGACTACTGTACTGTGGTTGTAAGAGAGAATGTCTTTATTCTTAGGAAATACACACTTGAGTATTTATGAGCAAACGGGCACAGTGTGATTTATTCTCAAATGTTCAATAAACATATATAATGATAAAGCAAAATGTTCACAATCATTTTGGACAAAGGGGAATTCTTACAACTAGTTAAATATTTTTAATTACTCCAAATTACTAAAGTTTCACGAGAGAGAAGCGTGTGTCTGGCCAACACACTGTTCTGTGTATGTTTGTGGACTGAAACAATAAGAGGAAAACACTGGATGAAGGCAAGAGATATCCAAAAGAAAAGGTCAAGGGTAAGAGTAAGAAGCAGAGAGTAGTCCTCTAATACCGGAGGAAGAAGAAACTGAGGTGGAGCGTGTTCTGTGTAGAATCAGAGGTCAGAAGAAGTACCCCCACGAGCACTGTCACAGCTACCTGCTTTGGGGGAGGCGGCGGGGTGGGGCACGGCACACGCTAGGCAAGGGAGAGAACCGCTGGTTTGCTGAATTCCCTTGTAAGAATTCGCAGGGGCCCCCGAGCAGCTCAACCAGTTGGGTTGAGGGTCCGACTCTTAGTTTCTGCTCAGGTCATGATCCCAGGGTCGTGGGATCAAGCCCCGCATTGGGCTCCACACTGAGCATGGTGCCTGCTTGGGATTCTCTCTCTCCCCCTCTGCCCCTCTCCCCAGCTCATGCTCTAAAATTAAAAAAAGAAAAAAAAAAAAAAAAGAATCTCGTAGGGGCAGGTGACTTAAGGCCAAAAGCAGTTACAGCTGCCCTGGAAACAGCTTGGAGATGCCCTCCTGCTCAGCCTTTGGTTGCAGGCAAATCCATCTTAGGGCCCAGGTGTCCGATCTCTGGGAAACAACTTCAATCCCAAACCCTCACTCACCCTGGCCCAATCTGTTCTCCCCAGGTAACCTTGCTGGCTATTTTTGACAGAGGTATAGTGGTATTTGACTTCCATTTCAACTGAGGCATCTTGGCAACTGTCCCTGAGTCCAAAGTAGCTCCTCTATGAAGTCATCGTGGAACTCCGAGGGCTTCCACCTGACTGCAGAGTCAGCTGGCCATGGTTAGAAGAACCAGGAAGATGGGACAATTCCATGTACAGAACACAAAATGGAACATCAGACTCCAGCCCACAAACCATACCATGCAGCCATCTTTCATCCAATTTGAGACATTCTTTTTATTGATAAAGTTGAACTTACAGCAATGACAGGAGCTACAGCACACACAGCCAGGACGAGGAGGAGTACAAAATGACCCACAGGACATATACACAGCACAGTGCCCACCTCTCACAGAAACTGTGGAAAACCCCAGGGAGCCAGATGATAAAGCAGGATTCACCAAAACCGAACGGCCAACTGGCCCCCAGAGCTGGGACACCGGAAGGCACAGCAGCTCTCTACACTGTCCTCTGCACGAGCCCCAATTCTTTGGGAAGAGGAAGGTTACCAGGGCACGGTGGATGGGGGTCCTTCAGTCAGCCTGAGAGAGGCCTGGACTAGGCGCAACACTGTTCAATCTT